AAAATTTATTAAAATACACAAATTGATAAAAAAAAAAATAGCTATGCAGGATCAAAATATTATTAATATAATGATTAGGTATTGTGAAGATTGCATGTGTTCGACATTGGGCTAAATCGCCGAAATGGCGGCAATTGTTGCCGTGTCCAGTAAACTCGACGTAACGATATGCCGCACCACAATTTTTTTTTCTGCAGAATATATTGTAACATAATTTTGATTTTTTATTTTTATAATGCTCCATTGAACTATTGAGGATAGAAGGGGAAAAATGTTAGGACACATGATACGACACGACGAACTTATGAACATTATAATAGAAGGTAAGGTAGAAGGAAGAAGGGGGAGAGGGAGACCGAGACATAGTTACATCAGGCAGATCAAGGAAGGAGTTGGTGTCGTGTCGTATCAAGAGGTGAAGAGACTCGCTGAAAATCGTAGTGAGTGGCAAGAGCTCCACCGACAAGAGCGCAGCTCTTAAATGGATAGATAAATAGATTTTTATAATATAAATTTATATATTTATATATATAATACATGATGTATATTTGATAGAATTATAGGCAAACGTGACCATTCGTTTTATAACAAATATTCGTTATTAATAATTTAAATACCTAAAGAACGAAAACTTAAAAAATATATATATATGAAATGAAATTTATTTGCTAGAAACATTGTAGAAAAGGTGTTGCATTTGTGAAGTTTATAAGTTGTCCATTATGTTTCGCCACATCAAATGGCATGCTAATATTAATTATTGAATTTATCTACAGATAGGCCATTTTATACAGGCACATTATATATTTAATTTTCAATTATTTACTACGTTATACAATAAATCACTACTAGTACCAAGTGCACACTTCCTGTGAAGAACCCAGGAAGCTTCTGCGCTTCTGGGCGGAGCTAGGTTGGCTGTACTAGCCACGACTCATACGCACAATGGCCCAAATGAGAGGCTAAGCGCGGAAAACAGAGTCTTTCTCACATTCACAAGTGCACACTTTGCTCATGCATTATAAGCAGTCAATAAAGTTATTATAAATAATCAAAATGATAGAAATGTACAGGCCTACTAGACATGAGTTACTTATATATTATTAAACTGCAGTTTACTTAAATAATGAATAAAAAAGTAAGCCTTTCCCTACAATGTTGTTTTAAATTTGTTTATAGAACAAACACGTGTAGTCACCATTTTGCTTACGCTAGTGTCGAGTTTACTGAATTTGGCAGTAAAGCGATAGTGTTTATATCACTAAAAATAATATTTTGAGATCAATATGTGGTAGAGATCATGATCTTCAGTCGACATTATAAACTACTAATATAAGAGCCACAGCTCAATCTGCACTATAATACCAATAGTACACACCCCACTAGACGAAATGACAAACGAATCTATCGATAGACACGTTTTCGCTACCTTATGCGTGAAATAGATTCAAGAAAATGAGATTCGCTTATCAGTTGTCTAGGGTGCAGGGGCTACGTAAGTGGCATACGATTCCGTTTCTATATATGTTTACGATTTGGCCTTACAGGGAAGGAACTGGATTATTTCTTACGAGCTATAAGTAATTGAATTCTTGAGGCTAGGATCGATTCTAAGGTGTAATTTCTCTAATCCTATGTCTAAAATTAAAATTCCAATTTGATATCATATCGAAATCTTCATTCTAGGACTAATAACTTCTATTAGAACAAAATATGTCGTATACCACAAGGTGCTTTAGTGAAGAGAATTAAACTAAATGACAACCCATACTGCACAATATGTACATTGTTTAATTCAATTATGTCTTATGGACTTACTTGATTTTTATACTTTTTTATTTCTTTCTGTATTTATTATCCTAATAAGGTACTGAACTTTATATTTTATACTAGCGGGCCGCTAATACAAAATAAATATAAAGTCCCGGATTCGCACGGGTGGACATTTTTACATTTTAAAAAGTGGCTATTAAGGCTGCACACGCGACGGAAGCTTAAAAATGGAGTAATTTCTCCCGTTTTCCCAACATTTCCCTTTATTGCTTTGCTCCTATTGATCGTAGCGTGATGAATTAACCATGATAGTTTCCAGGGGGAACCGCGAGGTCGACCTGGTTGGATATATTGCTAGCAATGGGATTCTTAGTCTCCATTACTTACAATCCCTTTCTCCCCATTCGTCGACTGTTAGGCTGTAGGAAGTTCGCTGGGAGAGGTAGTTTCATAAAATGAATCAATCAATTTCATGAAACTATGAAATGAAAATAGTATATGCAGAGATAGTTTACAGAAATTGCGCCTCAAAATCGACCCTAACGTCTATAATAATGATTTTTTTTAATTTATCCTCTGACAATACTTCTTTGCCACCATTATGTCTTATTGACCATCGATATTGAAAAACTCTTGATTATGAAACGAAAGAAACATGATACGAAATGGAATCGTTTACCATTTATGAATATATTACTCGGATTGAATCTCGATGCTCGAGAATTTCCACGAAATAAGATACTTTTTTTATCACATACTTTTTGGCAAAATGGCGTAATTTTGAACATATAAAATTTACAAAAGTTTGCGTTATTTAAATGTTACAAATGAGCAAGAATTTCATTAAAGTATGTAAACGATTATAGTTGTTAAAAGTGTTTGTACAAATTGTTTTGACATATTGAAAAAGTTAATTTGTTTACTAAAAAAAAAAATTGTAAATATCCACACATGGATAAAGTTGGACTGACAGTCATAGATAAATACTAGGATTTAAACTATCTTAGTTATAGTTTGCTTCAATAAAACTTAATGAAAATGTAAACAAACGGATAATCGATGCTACCAAAAAACAGTCCACTGATGCAAAAAAAAGATCAATTTATTGATTTATTTATCGTAAACTGTGTTTCTGTGATAAATACATCAATACTTGATTTATTCCTCATCAAGTTCTATTGAGACAGCCTATATCTATTACAAGCTCCAGGGACGATCAAGCGGCTTGAGTCAAGCACATACATTTTGCTGCACATAAGACAAATACCTATCGAGCAGTTCCGTATCTGTCTTACAAGCATAAAACATACGTGCTTGACCGTTTACGAATGTCTTTAAGGAACTCATTTCTATACGAGATCATCTTTGTGTCTATGACAATTTTGTCACCTTGTTATCTATAAAACTGTTTGGTAATGTCTTACAAAAATTCAATATCTTCAATCCGATAAATACAATAAATACAGGTTGATAGGTGACATAAAATAATACGATACTTTCTTACTTCTAACACAAAAGTTCAAAAATACCGAATAATCTAAAATTAAGGGCCACTGCATTATATTTTCACACTCAATAAGTAAATCTAAATTTAAAATCCCAAAGATAAATACCTATATGGTTAAAAAAAGATCATTGCTACGACTCTTAGGCGAATAATCACGTTATAAAATAAGGCATTATTATAAGTCCATCGAAACTGGTAAATATATTCAATGAATAAAAATGGTACCGATACAATGTAGATTCAGAAACATTATTACGTCATCATAATAAATTTTATAATCTGCTTCATATTTCGAAGCGATTATTTCTTTCAAATACTTATTTTTCATTTTATATATTTCATTAAAAAAAAATCACACCATGTTTCATAAGCGTATCCATGAGATCAATATTTGCAAATTAAATTAAATTTTGGTCCTTCGAGCCGGATACTTACATATAATCACAGTGTAAAAAAAAAAAAGAAAAAATATATATTTTACATAACAACGTTTCTAAATCTCACAGTTATAAAAATAATAACATCTACCGTAGACTAATTTAAACGTCTTGGACGCACTTAAAAAATAAATGTTAAAAACTTATTGACTCGAATACCTTAAACCGAAATTTATCAAAATGATATAAATTCTAATATTGACGCTATATTGTGCACTATTAATAAATAAGATATGATAAATAGATGAAGATGTTGTGTGAAGTTTACACATATACTATTGGAATATCAATATATACATTCAATCATGGACAATATAGCGTCAACTTTATTATAATCCTAATATTAGTATCGATAATTTTAAACTAATAAATGTAAAGTCACTTTTTAATAGCCTAAAAGCGTTAACGCTTAAAAACTTTAAGTGACAAAGGGTTCCTTGATATACCTAGTATATCCCCAACTATGAATTGTTTCTGACAAGAAAACACATACATACAAATACATTATAAGAAATAATATCTTTAATAAGTAAACGAATTATTATGCAAAATGCGATAAAAGGCTCAAAAATGTTTCGCGTTACAATATAATAATATTAATTCTATATTTAAAAAATTATAATATAGGTATAAGACTTGTTTAGATAAATAATTAAGAAATACGTACATATATATATTTTATATATAAATTATATTTTATATATATTACATCATTGTTAGTTTAATATTAACACCTCAATATTGAGACTCAAAACTAATTAGGGAACAGTTCAGTTAAATTTAAACAAGTCATTTATAATATCATATCATTGTTAGTTTAATATAGAATTAACAGGTCGACTTGGTTCAATACCTAAGAAATATTATAAAACTCTCGATTTTATTATAAAAAAAAAACTCTTTAATTCCAAAAGAACTATAGTAAACTCAAATACAAACATATACAATTACTCTGGACAAACGGAAATGCAACATTTGGGATGTTCAGATTTCGGAATAGAATAGATGGAATGCATAATTCACATAGTATGTAGCTCATTGATTTATGACATTGCCAACGAGAGAGGGATTGCACATATATGACTAGTCCGTAGATGTTTCATCAAGATATTTTTATATTGTATAACGCTCAGATACAACCTGTTTGCATACTTTTTACATAAACTGTGTCGAATATATAATCTAGTAATGTAAAATTTGTTATTGACAAATAATTGACATATAAAACATCTATCATTGACGTGAGGGTGACATAAGAAGACAATATGATTTACAATTTTTATATTCTAACTAGTTCTTAACAACAATCGATGTATTGTTCGTTCTCATATGCGCAGTAACTTACTCTCTTCTTTTCTCCACCTACTTTTTTCATTTCGACAAGAAATTTACCGAAAATCACTACAAAGAACAACTGTAAAATCTTTAGGCGTGTCATTATCATTGACGTGGATGACGACTGATTTTATATTCTACGCATATATAAATAAGGATCATATTACTATGCGACGACATTGGCGAATCGAAATAAAAATCAATAGCATCTTGTCTATATCCCTTTCAGACCCAAGATTTTTTTCTTTCAGATTAAATATATTTTCGTGTTTTGGAGCCAAGCCATCTTGCCGGCACGCACGAGACTACTGCACCACCTAACCGCTAAAATGATTTCTTATTGGCCGGTTTAGAATCTCACTATCATGTTCTTTCAGCTTCGTGCGTAAAAATGAATTGCGCGCGGTTTTAGAGTTTTTTTATACCACTGAGGTGGCAAACAAGCATACGGCCCACCTGATGGTAAGCGGTTACCGTAGCCTATGAACGCCTGCAATACCAGGTGTATTACGCGCGCGTTGCCAACCCTGAAGAATCCTCTTTACCCCCCTTTTGAAGAACCCCATGCTGTATTCTCTTGGGGAAACCTCGGCAGGGAGCTCATTCCATAACCTGAGTGTTCGTGGGAGAAAGCATCTCTGAAACCGCGTTGTACGCGACCATTTAGGCTGTAAGGTATGAGGGTGAACTCCCTGTCGATTGCAAGCCGTACGATGATAGAAAGTGGCCGCAGGCATCATATTGAATAATTCCTCTGAGCACAATCCGTTGTATAAGCGGTAGAATTTTTTAAAGTAACAACTCACGCCCGTATCGTTCAGGTCTGAAAGGTATAGGCCCTTTAATATCAGAACGAGCGACTCATTAACATTCCCAAATGCCATAGAAACCCTACACCGACCCTAGTACTTCAAAATTAGCATAAAAAAAAAAACCGATATAAACTTTCCTTAATCTGAATACAGTAGTGCAATGTACACATTAATCGCTACTCATAGAGAATCGTTCATATTAACAGGAATTGGACGATCACACGATAAGTGAAGTGCTCTAACGTTAAGTATATTAATAAGTATTGTGTATTGCTTAACATTAAAATTGATACAAGTAATATTTCAGTCAATCATTTCATTGATAACAGATATCCAATAGAAGGTACAGTTGTCCACAAAAAAAAAAACAATACCATCCAACTAGGCCTCGTTCGAATAGATAGAATTTTCGATAATAAATCGACAAAAATCGAAAAAGGAATGTTGCGTTGGTTTGGTCGTTTGGAGAGGACGGATGAAAGAAGAATTACGAAAGAGATTTATCGAGCAAGAATGAATGGAGATGCCGATAGGGGCCGCTCTAGACGGACGTATGTTGACCAAATAGGCGAGGTGCTGAAGAAGGGCCAAATTAAAAGTACCCGTAACCGGCGAGCGTGTATGAAAAGATTGATGAATGTGGAGGAAGCGAAAGAGGCTTGTTTGAATCGAAGCATTTGGCGTTCCATTGTTTCTGCCTACCATAATAGGAGACAGGCGTGACAGATATGTATGTATGTATGTATTATTCACTGATAATGTAGCTTTCTATAGAAAACTATCAAATCTTACCTCTTTATAGATATATATTTATTTTCTTTTTTTTTTTGTATAGAAAATGTAAAAATGCACCCGCCTATGCTAGTAATAGTAAATAATGGCGGAGAATCAGTGTAGAAAGAAATACTGAGAATTTAGTCGAGTTAGTCGACTTAGGGTAGTTAGTTCACAAGGAGTTAACCATGATAGTTTACTATGGAACTCGTGTGGAGGTCGACCTGACGTGGTATATACCATGTATCATTTGATACACTAGTTATATGATAAGCGTATCCTTGCTTTTTTACAATACAAACTTTAATATTTAAAAATTTAAACTTATATACCATTCTATTGAATATCTGTGGTGTATATAGACAATTTTTCTAAAAAAATATTTGCGAAAGTGTATATAAAATATATAAAACACGATATACTACAAATACCTGTCTCAATTACATAGCCACCAATCTCAGCCTTCAATTTAATATCTGTAACAAATAATAAATATATTATTAACTAGTGTTACATAAATCCACATATAAGCTGAGTTTTACCAGAGGGAGACTTTGTACAAAAGTCGATTGCTTGAGCACCTCTGTCCCATTCGTGTTTCAACCGTGAAGCAATTGTGTTTGCATGGCTGTGTTTCGATTTGAAGAGTGGGATAAGGTGTGAATTTACTGGGTACAAAGGAATAACACCTGAGTCCTCGGGAATGGCAACTCACGGGGGGTATCATGGGCGAAACAGTATACTCTGTTATGCTCATGTCTATAGGCGACGGTTACCACTTTCCATCAGGTGGGCCGTCAGTTTGTTTGCCATTCTAAGTTGTATAAAGAAAAAAGTTTTTCAAATGGAAATTATCCATTGATTCAAAGGAAGAACTAAAGAATATTATAGAGTCAAACTCATTGATCCTAGCCTAGAATGGAAATTTTATTTAAAAAAAAAAAAAAAAAAAACACGTGTATATCACTGTGTATTGTATAAGTTAATAGAGAAAACAAATGACTCATTCTAAGAAAATTATTTCCAAATGCAATCCCAATTCTTTCCAATCCCAACTCCAATACTTTTTTTCACTTTTGCATCAAGACACCACAAATGAAAGGTTATATTGATATTGATAAAAAAAAAATATATCTAAACCTTTCTTCACCGAGTAACCAAAACGATTGCTCGCGTTGTTACCACCTTCAAATTAGGATTTGACAAAAACTTACCAATTATCAACAGCGATATTATTAAGTTTCATTTTTCTCCTCCAATGCATTTCGGGGCTCGCGCTCCGCTGTAGCTTACTGTCCTCCTCGTTGGTGTCACATGCGTCAATCTCCGGCTTCTCGTACAGTATCTTCTTGTAGAGCTCCTTCCTGTCCCTCGGCGGAGCGCCCAGTCCCAAATTGTTGGAATTCGTTTTCCATTCTAATTCTAATATCTTGTTTCTATTTATCGGAGGCAGTATACAATTATTTTGACTCACCATAGAGTTTGCTTTGTGCATTTTGTGTATATACTCGCTTTCGTAAGCCGTAGACACCTTGGCTTCTGTACACTTGCCAACAATAACACTCTGCCGGGCTATATTCGCCTCCAGTATAACGCTAAGCGACTTATTTGGGTTCGTTTGTCCGGCCGGACTGCTTTCCTGATTGTTCTGGCTGACATTCTCATTGATTTCCATAATATGTTTCTGTATGACTTCCTTTGGCAGGGGAGGAAGCGGGTTCAAGCTCTCCAGCCTGGTCTTCTCGTTATTCTGGTAGGTCTCGTCGGCCAAGCTGCGCTGTCCGTTTGTCTGTTGTATGGTGATCTGCTTGAGAGCACTCTCGTCGCACTCCACCACAGCGGACGTAACATAGTTAGGATGCGTGTTTCGGATATGGCGCTCTAAATTGTCTTTCCTCCTAAACGATCTATTGCATACTTTGCATCGAAACGGCTTCGAATCTGAAAGAAAACATTATTATGAATTATTAATAACTGTGTTTTTTTTTGGGTGAAAATGGTATGCTAACCTCGCCTGCGCTAACGGGATACGCTGGCAGCGGCCAGCAACTGAGGCATTGACGAACGAACGTGCAAATGTGGGCCGAGGCGTAGTCGAGGCACACATACGTGATTCCATCAATGCCTAGTTGTGGCCAAGGCTTGTATAGTACTTTTCTCAAACAATGCGCGGAAATCAAAAATACAATTTTACTTTTTAAATTCAATGACGAATAACGAACAATAATATTTTTTCACGCGCCGTAATGTTCCTCTTTTTTTTTTTCAATAAACAGCTTTCTTTTTGCAAGCCAGTTTGAAATTTAAATAAAATATTTTATTAGTTACCTCCTTGGTAGCCATGTTTCGAAGTAAAAGGTCAATCCATTTTTAAATTACAGGACAGATATGAGTTTACATAGTAATTTATCTGGCCGCAAAACACGACAGATATGGATTTTCATACAACTTTTGCCGGCCGCTGCCCGCATGTATCTGGCCAGTACGGCAATTTTGATTTATCTCGAAGAAGATTGTCAAAATAATGCTCACATTTTCAAGCATGTTTGAGAAAAAATATTTAATTACAAAAAGTTATTATACACTACAGGAATTTTTCAATGAGAAAATTTAATTGTATTTTGTACCAATTTGTTTTAATGTAATAATGTTTTATTTATTTTATGTTAATCGAGTATACATATACATAAATATAAAAATTTAGTTATGTACTTCATGAAATATTTATTAATGTGATTGCTGTGCCCACCCAGGGTTCACGTTGATTCTTTACTTTTAATAACCTAAGACCTAACTTGATACAACATTAAATAGCAATAAATGATTGAATTGAATTAAATTAAAGAGCTTATAGTTTTACGCTCTTCGGGAATGTATTTGTTGGTGGTTTCCGTCACCTACAGCTTGGAGGAAAGGATTGAGGAAAAATGGAAGGGAACGTTGGAAATGCGCAAAGGAAATTAGTAAATGAGAGGAATAAGGGACTTATGTGGAAAAGGAAAGGGGGGGGGGACACTGCAGCGGCTCGGGAGGCCGGGGTCGTATAAACGTATGCCCTTATTCTAGAATCAGGCAGATTTCTAGAGAAGAACCCATCTGACGGGTGGGATATGGCGTGAATTTACTGGGTACAGAGGAATAACACCTGAGTCCTCAGGAATGGTAACGCATGGGGGCATCATAGGCGAAACAGTATACTCTATGTCCATGATACTGCTCATGTCTATAGGCGACGGTTACCACTTTCCATCAGGTGGGCCGTCAGCTTGTTTGCCATTCTAAGTTGTATATAAAAAACGACGTATATGTATGTATTTTATATAGGATATAATAATAATAATAATTTATTTATTTGCTCGAAATGTGGTACAAATGGTATTAAATATTATTGAGCTACACATTTCGCCTTATCTAAAGGCATACAAATTTTTATTTCAGCACATGCTAATTACTTATCAATGGCTTACGTATATGATAGTAAAATTGCAGAATATGGATCATAGTTCTCAGGAATAGGAACATATTAATTAATATCTAATCCTAACCGGTTTATCGTAATATCAAATCCTTTCTTACGGCTTTAATAGAGAAAAATATTTTTTTTTTATTATTATTATTTACCAACTGAGTGACCTTTACGGTCACCCAATAAACTTTAAAATTTTAATTAAATGTTCGCTTACCCAGATAAAGTATCAGTAACACATATGTACAATTAAATGTCTAAAAATAAAAATTTATATATTACAATGGTGGTAAAATAATATTATCGAACCATCCGAGAATAAACGTTACTGTACGCATGAGAAGGACCATGGACATTGTAACATTTACATCAGCGTCTTTATAGTGGATAATGGGTGGATGGCGCTACAATTAAAAGTGTACATTGATATAATGCTGAGAGATTACCTTGGTTTGGTTTGGTCATTTGGAGAGGATGGATGAAAGAAGAATTACGAAAGAGATTTATCGAGCAAGAATGAATGGAGATGTCGGTAGGGGCCGCCCTAGACGGACGTATGTCGACCAAATAGGCGACGTGCTGAAGAAGGGCCAAATTAAAAGTACCCGTAACCGACGAGCGTGTATGACAAGATTGATGAATGTGGAAGAAGCGAAAGAGGCTTGTTTGAATCGAAGCATTTGGCGTTCCATTGTTTCTGCCTACCCTAATGGGAGACAGGCGTGACAGATATGTATGTATGTATGTAGATTACCTGTGTGCACGGCGGTGTGCCGGCGCATGTCCTTGTTGGAGTGGAAGGCGAGCGGGCAGCGCGGGCACTGGAACGCCCTCCTGGCCGCCGTCCGCCCCGCGCGACCGGCGCCGCAACCTGCGACCGCTGATCATGTTATCATGTTTGCCCCAATTTGACCAACATCGGTCCAGTTTTAATAAAATTGAGCAAGTTTAGTCCAATTTGGCCAAGTGTTCTTTATCCTTTATTATACACAAAACATAATGTTAAGCACAATTCATTTTAAACACAATGTACAAAGGCGAGCTTATATCTAATAAAAGATTTCTTCCAGCAAACAAGTTTTTTTTTTATATAACTTAGAATGGCAAACAAGCTGACGGCCCACCTGATAGAAAGTGGTAACCGTAGCCTATAAACATGAGCAGTACCATGGACATAACAGAGTATACTGTTTCGCCCATGATACCCCCCATGCGTTTCCATTCCTGAGGACTTAGATGTTATTCCTCTGTACCCTGTAAATTCACGCCATATCCCACCCTTCAAACCGAAACACAGCTATGCAAACACAATTGCTTCACGGTTGAAACACGAATGGGATAGAGGTACCCATGCAATCGACTTTTGTACAAAGTCTCCCTCTAGTAGTAAAAAGTGTAACCAAGATTGGTGAAATTAATTTTCCTTCAAAAAGAGGAGATTAAAGCCAAATCGGCTAAGTTCAGTTTTATCTCCTCCTATAGAAATTGGTTGAAAATAAATGTAGCAACAACTTCACAAAACTCATTAAATTACCCAACATTTACTCCAAAAATAAAAATTTTGACCTCTGCCAACTTTTCTATCGTATCAAAAATACCATGCTTTTTTTAGATCAATAAACCCACATTAATCAAAAACGAGATCGAAAATAAAATATAAAAAATTCACATAATATAAATAAAAAAATACAAATGTAGACTGACCGTCATGTTTGGCGACATGTTTCCTGTAGTTGGAGCCGTCCCGGAATCGGCGGCTGCAGATCTCGCACGAGAAGGGTCGCTCCTCAGTGTGCGTGAGGCCGTGCTTGCGGAGTGATGTCACATTGTTGAACGCCTTGTTGCATTGGGGACAGGCATATTTCTTCTCCCCTACAATTTAATAAAAAAAAAAAATTACTAGTATATTCCAAACCACAAAAGAATTTACTCCGACAAAGAAATCAACAAAATTAAATGGATACACTTAAAAAGACAAGAATCTGAATACAATAGACTTTGTCTAAAATTCCTTAATCAGCTCCATTCTAAATATTATTCAAATAGCCCCCTACTAGAGGGCTATTTAGGTTGAAAAATAAGTTGAAAGATATAGTTATAAACATTTTATTTTATTCTTATTCACCTTCTGATGGAAACACTGTTAAGTTTCATTCATTCTTCAAAAACATCTTAACATAAAAAATTAACATATGTGCATGATTTTCATAAATAACGTTGCATGTAAAACCTTTTTAATAATTATAAAGTCTCTAATATCAGCATGCACGCGTGAGATAGTCATAACAGAGAAATATACATAAAGATAAAGATATAAGTATTGCAATTCAGTTCATTTGCAAGTTTTTTTTTTTTTTTTATAATATCATGACATTTGCAACTTACTAGTGTGCTTCAGCTTGTGTCGCTGCAACTTGGACATTTGGAAAAAGCTGTCCCCGCAGACGTCACACGCGTACGTTCGCTCGTTGCGGTGCACACGCATATGGTACTTGAAGTGTGAGTGCGTAGCAAAACTCTGCAATAGTTCTTTATTTGTAAAAAAAAATATAAATATGCATCAAAGGAGGGCTATGAAATGTAAATTCAAATTTCTAAACTTTTTTTTTCTATATTGTCTCTATCTTTTACTGTGTTAATAGAATAGGAAATATATCAAATATTGTAAATCTGTAATTATTTATAATTACCAAAAATAACACTATAATATTATAGTTTTTAAGAGATGTGGATTTTGTTATATAATATATAAATTGGATACTTAAAACACGTGTTCTATTGTTGGATAAATCCATCTGGGATTGTTAAAAGATTAAACAATGGCAACCCCAAGTAAAATTGTAATAGCAAATATTTAGCTCATAGTAACTAAGAGCTTAAAAGGGCTACTCATAAAATTTACAAGTAATCCTTATTAATATAATAAATATGAATATAAGTTTGTTTGTTTGTTACTTGTATGCAATTTTGTATATACATACTATATGAGATGGACACTCGGCCTCACAGATAAAGTTATGGGTTAAAGCTATTTTTTTTACAATTTTTAAAAGCACATCACCTTATTGCATTCAGGACATTGATAAGGCTTAAGCTGCCCATTACAGTAAGCATGGTAGGCCACCTGGCTGCGAGCATGGAACCTCTTCTTACACACTGTACAGTAATAACATCTCCCGTTTGCATCTGAAAATAGAAGATGTTTTCTAATAAATAAAAAGACATTACAATGTTTGTTGAAATGAATTAAAGAAATGTTTTTATTCAAATAAACTTAGGTTTAAGCATTTGTGAATAGACAATTTTTTTTTTCATTACCTACATTTACATTGATCATTGGAAATGCAATTTCAGCAAGAAGTTGCATTTTTCAAAAAGTTTAATTATATAAATAATAAATCTGTGTCAATACAAACTACTAAGCAGTAAGCATCAAAACATAAGTGATCAATTAATGATTGAATATTAAAGTTTCTGTATTTGTTGTCTCAAAAAATAACCAAGAATGTGATAATTATGTAATACAGTGAACACTCTATATAAGCATCCTCTCTGTAAGCAACATTCTTTATATTTTATTTATTCTACTCAGCTTAGTTAGTAAAAGAAATAAGTAAAAATATTTTCCAGATGGTAAGTATTTTTATATTCCTTTTTCCCCTATAACCAAATTTTCCCAACAAGAAACTTTTTATTGAAATTGGTTCAAATGAGTTGCTTATATACACATTCATTATATATATATATATATATATATATATATATATATATATATATATATATATATATATATATATATATATATATATATATATATATATATATATATATATATATATATATATATATATATATATATATATATATATATATATATATATATATATATATATATATTATATATATATATATATATATATATGGCCTATCTATGATATCACTAGGTAGTTTCAATAATTCTTTTTATCTGATAAAAACAATATTTAGTAACGATAGTCTTCAGGGGGGTTTTTTTTTTACCTGATAGGGTACATTAATGCAACGAAGACTAAACTCACCATTTCTAACAATCCCTTCCCCCCCCCCCCCCCGGTAGTCTTCAAGTTAGTATCTTTATTTTTCTCATGAATTAAGATGGTTACAAATTATCATAATTTCATTTTCTTCGAAGAACAATTGATAAACTTATTACACTACACCACCACTTTGTTGTACATAAAATAGACATAGTCATAATTGATACATAATTGGAAATTAAAGGATCCAAGTATCTACCTCAACAAAAAACATATTTAGAGGGTGGGTGAGCCATATTCACCCCAAAATTGTCTGGTGCCCAACCCACTGATAGGGCATAACATTGTATCAGCATACGGATATATATATACTAAAAATACAACACATCTTTTCCCCCCCCCCTGAAAATTGTAGTCTTCTTGTTACAAAAACTATCTTTATTTTTTTGTTACATGGATTAAGATGGTAATAAATACTTAGCAAACAATTATGGCACTGTCTTTTTACTTTTAAATAACAGTAAATAAAATAAAAACTACACCACCTTTTTTTTGTAATAAAATATACATAGTCATAATTGATACATAATTGGAAATTAAAGGATCCAAGTATCTACCTCAACAAAAAACATATTTAGAGGGTGGGTGCCATATTGAACAAAATTGTCGCTGTGTCAACCCACAAAACAGGATGTGCATAACTTTTAGCACATGCACACTGTGTCTGTTACATATCTAAAGTTTTACATACACATTTTTTCAAAGTTTTACAGTGTCAGAAAGATTTAATTTTTCTTCTGAAAATTGTCACTTTATTTTTATAAATTCATTAAAAAAAAAAAAAAACTATTTTGAAAGAAGTTAAAAGAATATTTTCATTTAGAAACTAAAATTTTTTTATTCTTGTAATATATACTTTGCAAATCAATTATGGCACAATGTCAAATGAAAATTTTTATTTTTATTTTTTACTAAAAATTTGAAAAAAATAACAGTAAATAAAATAAAAAACAGCTGAATTTTTTTTATGTTAATTAGGAATTATCAAATACAACTGAAGTAAATTAATAAAAAAAAGAATATAAATTTAATAAGTTCAAGTAAGCTCTTTCATATCTATTTAGAAGAATAATTGACATGCAAAGCACATACAATACATAAACTTAAACTCTAAAAATATCCAACTGCTTATTTGGTTTCTGTCCATTTCAAATTTATTACTTGTAATAATTTTTAATATACAATATTACCCCTTTATTTCTTACTAAAATATGTTTAAAATTGGTAAATTATGGATAAAAATTTATTATTAAATAAATAATTGGCAAAATAATAATATAAAAATTAATATACACATTTCAAATATAGTTAAACATGATAGATACCTATTTCCACACTTATATGAGATGTCTCTGGTTTTTTCTTCTTCAATAATTCTTCACAAGGTACCAGATGGATGTCAGTAGAATCCTTCAATGCTACAGGCTCCTCTGCTTGAACCACGTTAACATTATCCTCTCTATTGTCCTCAGCGTTTGGTTCAAGATCATCCCTGGGTAGCTTCTTTGTCTTGGCACAAGCTTTACATCCTGATTTCTCATGGAGAAGACAATCCATACATTTGACATGACCGCAGCTCTCAGTCACCAGCCGGTTATCAGTTAAATTAACAGGTTTATTATTATGGCAATTCACACAAATATTTGCATTCATAGTGGCATAATAGTATTTTGAGGTTAGGAAAGATGTTTCAAATTAAAAGTTCATTGTTAAAGAAATCGCAATGATATGATAATCATATTATAAATTACAGATTATATAATTAATAGGTAATCGCTAAAATAATGGCAAATATACAAAAACAAAAAGAAAAATAGTAAACCACTTATTAGACAAATACAAATATTTTATAAATTATAGTGTAACTAGAAGTCATAAAAATCACATAAAAAATTTGTATGATCTGTAATTAATCTAAAATTGTCGTAGACAGAGAAACCTCAGATATTATCCTTTATAAATCAGAAATGTGTACAATTTATAAACTAATATACAAAAATAAATATTTAATAGATCGGACAAATTTAAATCAAATTTAATACATTATTGCCGCTTATAAGAAAATGAGATCCTGTATAACGTTTATGATCGCAATTTGAATGCCTGACTATTATCATTTAGGTACTCTGTGTCTAAAGTCGTAAAAGTTGTCAATTGTCAAATTGTCATTCAATATTTAATTTCGTTTCATACGCCTCTAAGCGTTTTTTTACAATAAATAGAATAATTTTTAATTTTAAAGTCATTATGGTGAGTAAAATAGTATTTAACGCAGATTTATGATTAAAATAATTTCACTAATTCAATATATTGGTTGACGTATGACTTTCGCCTTGTAACCTCAAAAATGGAATTTGTTTTCAGGATGTCTTTCTAATGATTAGGCGAAAAAAATTAACCATTTTCACAGACGCCAAGGATACAACAACAGTATTAGAATTGAAGAAAATGATCGAAGGTTAGTGCAAATAACTTGGTAGATTGGAAATCTATTTTTAGTCGCGATACAATGTCGGGATGTTAGCGTAGGTTTTGTTGTCAAGCGTGGTGTTTTGTTCTCAAATTATATATATATTTGTTTTTTATTCTTATAATTTTTTTCTTGAAACTAATACGTTCAGCATCAATCTATTATCTTTAAATGCATTAATATAATTTTAGTTTTAAATTGCTATACAGCAAACAGCATTTATTACATCTGTTAGAGCATTATAACACTTGTTATATTTCAATTTCATTATATTTTGTTCTATCTACTACTTCAGTTAAAAACCTGTGATCTATGATCTAGAAAATATATGATAAGGTAACTTCATACTCCTGTGTTGTGATTAAGTATTACCTACCCATCATCCATTCATATTTTAATACTATGATTTATAATATGTTAGATAGATGACTAAAGACATGTAAATAAAATTCTAAATACTAGTACTAAATTAATTTTTATAAAATATTGTGGAATAATCAAAATGGAACTATATAAATTGATAATTATAGATTTTTTTCTTTTTATTCAGAGAATATAATTGATACACTGTATGTTTCAAGGTTTAATCTATTGATAATGGCTACTATTTTATTATCAACTTGTTATTGAACTGCCATGTTTCTTTCTGATTCTTCTCAATAGATTACAAACATTCTGATCTGTTTTTAAATCATATAAAAAAATTTCAATTTAAAACAACTTTTAAACAAGTCTATTTAAATAATTACAGTTTTTATATTATTTTATACAAAATTTAGTCTCAGGAAATTTACAACAAAGATTTTTTATTTTCCAATTATGTGATATTATACAGTATCTGAATTATTGTCTCTGAGGAACAAAGATTTAACAAAAGATTCTTTTTTTTTTACTTTTCCTTCTAAATTAATTCAATTGTTTTGTATGAAAACTATATTTCTGGACTTTGAATTATAATACCTTTAACTGGTGTATCATTATTGCAAAATTTTAAAATTATCATAGAAATGCTATATACTATACTACTAATTTAATTTTGTAACTTCAATCCCCGAGTAGGATTTATTATTATAAATGTAAAAGTTTTTAAAGATGATTAGATATTTAATAGTCAATTATGATTAAATTGGTGAACAGATTTAAATTAAATTAGTCTACAGATATCCAAAATAAACGTACAGGTTACTTTTTATCTTAATTCATATAGACAAAGCCAAAGTATACAATTAATAATATATAAATTGAAGTGGTGCAAGACTGTTAATATTTTTTAATGACTTTTTTTAAGTGCCTACATGTTTTATTTGTAAAACAATAAATACATTTTAGATCCTTTTATATATGACTCAGATTAATTTTTTATAGTTGAAAACATATTGCACTTTGATCACATAAAACCCAGCTTAACTATATCTTAACTAATCTATTATAATATAAAATTTGTTACTAACTGATTATTTTCCTGAAGCTGGATGGTAAAATGTGGTATTTATCTATATTTAACTGTTAATTACACTGAAATTTAGATATTTTAACAAAAAAACTTCTTTTTTATTTATTTATTTTTAGTAAAACAGCCTGATCAGCTATACATAGACATAGAGGGAGACTGTACAAAAGTCAATTGCTTGGGCACCTCTGTCCCATTCGTGTTTTAACTGTGAAGCAGTTGTGTTTGCATGGTTGTGTTTCAGTTTGAAGGGTGCGATATGGTGTGAATTTACAGGGTACAGAGAAATAACACCTGAGTCCTCAGGAATGGCAATGCATGGGGGGTATCATGGACGAAACAGTATACTCTGTTATGTCCATGGTACTGCTCATGTCTATAGGCGATGGTTACCACTTCCCATCAGGTGGACTGTCAGCTTGTTTGCCATTCTAAGTTGTACAAAAAAAAATTACATTTATGTTGAGCCATAAAATAATTTACACAATTGCATAATTACACAATCTGTTTTTATATATGCAAAACAATAACCTTAATAGGAGATATACTACTATGAAAGTTTAACTTTTCAATAAAACTAATAATAAAATTTATTTCACAATATGGAAAAGATATTTGCATAAATAAATAAATGAAAACTTTATCCTTATTTAAACATACTTGATGAATTTTATTGGATAAATGAATTTTTAATTAGGTACAAGCCATATCCTGTGGATAAGCCCATATGAATCAGTATATGATCTATTTGTGTACCAAATTTAATCAATTCTGTTTAGACCATATTTTTTTAGCAAATAAATTTCATATAATTTTAGGTATCCTGAAAGTGCCACCAGCGAGCCAGATGCTGTTCAACAAAGACAGTCAGCTCATGGAAGATGAGACAACCCTCGCAGAGTATGGACTCACATCAGCCACCGCCAAAGCTCAGTGCCCTGCACCTATTGGATTGGCTTTGAGGTATTTTTTTTTTATAAAAGAAAAGTTAAGATGGTGCAACAGTTGCTATTAAAATGTTGCTTTGCAAGTATGAGATTCCTGTGACGCCCACTAGTGTTTCCAGATTGTTTTCCAGGGAAGACATCTTAAAAATGGTACACATGTATCTTCTCTTAGACAATGACATGGTTATACTGTGACGCCCATTGGCATTAAGATTACTATGTAGAAATTTCTAGACCCCTTAAAGAAGATGCATTATTATGTATATACTCTTGGACATATATTAGTATGTAGCTTCGCTCAGATTTTAATATAGTCACAAATTTATTATATCAAGCTCGTATAATGCCCATTACCAATTACATATTCATGATTTGGATATAACCATTATCATCGATGACAAATTAATAATGTCTTTTATATAATTCCATTGGTATATTTTTTTCCGCCTGTTTTATAATTAACTAGCGATCTACCCCGGCTTCGCACGGGTGTAACCTGCACCTACTACAGAATGTAAACAATGTTTACAGCTTTTTTGTCATTAGACAATACGAACATGATAAAATGCTATAGGGCGAAGCGCGGCCTTTAACGCGCTATTTTTAGTCACGCGCCGCCGGCCGGGCCGGTACCGCCGCACCGCTATGTCTCTGCATTTTAAATCTGTTATATCTTGGGAAATATTCATTGAAATTACATGCTGTAAAGGGCCATATTGATGTATATTAAATGGACAATTTATTTAAGATACTTAATTGGATAAAAATTAATGCTGTATTGCTTAAAATTGCTTCGTAAATAAGCCATTTTTTACCGTAAAATTTAAACGATAAAAAATGGTTATTGTGGGTTATCCTATATAGACATATATCATCGCGGACTTTTTTGTTGACCTTTTTAAAGTGTACAATACTGTAGTACATTATTTTGAATTCTCTTACGAATACTCTTGAATCACTCTATCCATTTAAAAAAAACCGCTTCAAAATTCGTTGCGTTTTAAAGATTTAAGCATACATAGGGACGGACAGACAGCGACAGCGACTTTGTTTTATACTATGTACTGATGATGATGATTTAATTAAATAACATAACTAATTATTAAATTTTTTAAAATTTACTTTCAAATATTAAATTATATATAACAGGAAGGATAATGGCGAATTTGAGGCCCTGGATTTGACTCCATACTCATCACCCCCAGACCTCCCTGATGTAATGAAGTCTCAAGAGACCAATGGACAGGAACAGGTAATATTAAAGTTTTGTACATATCCCAATTTGTCAAGAATCCCGTCTTGACTAGAATTGTTCAAAGGTCACAGACTCCCTTAAATTATATTACTGAACATTACCAGAGGGACACTGTACAAAAGTTGTTTGCTTGGGCACCTCTGTCCCATTCGTGTTTCTACCGTGAAGCAGTTGTGTTTGCATGGCTATGTTTCGGTTTGAAGAGTGGGATATGGCGTGAATTTACTGGGTATAGAGGAATAACACCTGAGTTCTCAGGAATGGCAACGCATGGGGGGTATCATGGGCGAAACAGTTTACTCTGTTATGTCCATGGTACTGCTCATGCCTATAGGCGACGGTTACCACTTTCCATCAAGTGAGCCGTTAGCTTGTTTGCCATTCTAAGTTGTATAAAAAAAAAACTTGTTTACAAGCTTTTTTTGAATCATCACTTTTTATGATTCTACTGTTTGGTTCGGAATATTGTTATGTGTTGAGAAGTCCCGCAAAAAATCTTACTTTTTTAAATAAATTTTTAACCAGAACATTATGTATATTGTATTTTTTAAATGTATTGTCTAAAAGAACTTGTTCATTTAAAAGCCCCGTACATGATCAATTAACGCTACGCCGTTTGTCATTCGGGTAAACGTTCACTTTAATCTGATGTATGTTACAGATGGATCAGCATTAAACGGCTCGGCTGCATTTCGAACGGAAGAGTTGCAAATAAAAACATAATGTCATCACGGTTTTATAACATGCCTAGTTCAACGTGAACTAGACGGACGTAACCTTAATCTTTTGCATATGGACATATTTTGTTAATGTTTTATCAATTTGTGTTCAATTTTAACATATTCTGTTATGTCTACTCAATTCTTTGTAGTATTTTTGTAATGCTTTGTATGACGGGTGTCTTAGCGCTTATTGCAATTTTATTGATTCTAAAAAAAAAAATTAATTTCAACTCCTACGATTGATGTTTACCTAGTACTATTTTGTTGCTGTCGGCTCTAAATCTTGTGACATGTACAAGATTATATTAAAACTAATGTAATATATATTAAGCCCACGGTCGACGAAATGGAATAATGGTGCCCTTTAGGTACCTTGTTACAGTGACGTAACTAGTTTATTATTGTTTACCATAGTTTTGTTACAAATATTAATTAACTCCCAAATACGTCACCCTCACAGCGTTTCGAGGCGAATAATGTATCTTTGATCGATCGTATCAGCGGCGTTTATAGGTGTGCTCTCTTCATTCTAGTTTCCACTTTTCGAGTACATTGTCTTAATTATAATACGGGCCGGCCCTCATTAACCACTTGAGGTCTCGTAACGTGCTACTTCAACGAAACCCTTAAGTGTATATAAATTTAACTATGTGGTCTAGTAGTGCGATTATGCACCTTAGTGTCTAACATAAAAGGATTTATTTCAAATATGTTACAGGCTATTTGCCTACCAAATATACCTAATATAGCAGGACATACACCACATATATAATGTACCTGTTTCACAGTTTTCATTTGATACGACCTTGGATTTTGAATTTGCAATCCGCGTATTTCATCCATTGTGGCTTCATTAGATATACTAGGCGTTCACATTATAAAAACATTATAAAATTGTCGACTTGTCACTTTCACCTCATGTATGACGGTTACCGAGCCGTGCTCGCACTAATATTAACGCATATTACTAACGCTGCAATACATTCATGGCTTGACGCTTAACTTTTAAAGTTTTCACATAAAAGTATCGTTGTTGTACGAATTACAACTCACCATTCCCTATGTAGTTTGTTTATTATATTTTTAGCTAAATAAAATAATACGGTGCATACGACACTTGAAGCTTTATTGTAGGTAGTTACAATTTCTATATCTTTTTTTTTTTTTAAGTCACCTCTTTGCTAACATATTTAATGTATCCGAAGCTAAGAACGAGAACTATACATCTTAAATTTATATTATAAACAGACTACATAGAACCTCTTTTAATATAAATGACATCATTCTCTTTCACACGCGTGCGATAGAAAGAGACTGCTGCATACAAAGCCAATTATTATAAAATGCGTCACGTCATTTATATTGCATCGAGACATTCAATGTGAGTGTACACAGTATATGATTTTATTAAAATTAATAATACGATATTTAACTGATAATAGACTAGAAGAACTATAGGTAGTAGCTAATTTAATAGGGGGTAAATTAGGGGCTTTTTATATTCGTAAATTGTAATTCCTGAGGGGGGGTCTATCATGAAACGCTCCGAAATGCCGTGCGTACGATAAAACATGTTTAATACCTAAATGAGCCAATAGACAACAAGTGACGTTTCGTTCCCTGCGTTCATCGTGTTCGAACAACCGCAATGATTACCTTATTGATAGCATTTCTTTCCTTTATTTATTATTGAATTCTTGTTCCTTTCGGTTCCGAAATTTCGGAGTGTTTCATGATTAGTAGGCTGGATAGCAACATTCTTCATTGTGATTTAAATTAAATGTATCTTCGTGTTAAATCGAATGTCATCTGTAGTTCCTCATCACTAAAGGTTACTACTTTTTTTTTTAACTATTGTTTCTATGTAATATTTTCTATTGCACCTTTTTAAAAGAAAAATATTCTGTATATTTTGGAGGACTGGATAATCCTTTAGTAAATTCCACATATTACGGTGTATTTTAGCAACTAGAGTGGTTACCAAAGCTGTGAGTATAACCTATCGTCGCTATAATGCTGAATCCTGTCACAAACATTTCCCGCCAAAATATTTTTTTTTAAACTAATTTCTTTTTTAACTCTTCACCGTTCCATTAAAACAGAATTATATAAAAAAAAAACTAAATTTTTTCATACGTCAAATTTTACACTCAGTCTACAAAATGGACGGTATAATTTAAAAAATGTCGATTCCCAAAGCTCTAAATGTGCGCGTAACAGAATTCAGCATAATTTGCGGCGATATGTTGACAGATCTGAATACTTGGCCTCTAGGTTTGCTAAGTATGATGCATTAATATATCTGAATACAAAAATGTCAAATACATTTTCCTTTTCAAATTTAATCCAAAAATAGTATAATTGGGATATTAAATGGTATTGCACTTTAATGCACTATAAAATAGAATAGTAAATTGATATATAAGTACCATTCTCTCGTAGACATCGTAATGTGTTCTACAAACCGCTACCATGAATTTGTTACGTGGCGTCTCGAATTTGAATGTTTTGTACCATATTTTGATTTATTTTTTATTCCTTCGACTTATTTGTGAAAGTTTATGGTAGCGGTATATGGTCCCGGAATAGTCATGTACAAGGGATCACTACCGAACTAAAATAAGTTGATGTTTATACTCAATATTGTTTTACTGTGGCTGGACAGTAGTACTGTGATCGAGTAAGCAGCAATACATTCATTATGTATTCTATTGGTTATTACGTAAGTGGTCGCATCTAAGCTCTCGCGCCGTGAAGGTTTTACATACCATTTTTTAGAACAATTTAAAAACAAAACCTCGTCCAATCAAACGCGATGAGTCTTAGACAAAGATAACTAGTGTAGTAATTCATGTGCAAATATGGAAAATCCACAATGAACCAGCAGAAAATAAAGCTGTTTTGATTTGTTTTGCCCTGTTTTATTATTATTATTGTATTTTACAAATACAATTTTATTGCGTGAGGGTCTTGAGGTTTGGTGTTATGATCCCAAAACGTGTAGTGAGCCATAGCCATGAATATACCTGGAATTCAGCACGATGGTTTCCAGGAGGGCCACGTGAAGATCGACCTGACAGGTTGTATTGCTAGCAATAGGACTGGTAGTCTGCATTACTAACAATTCATTCCCCTTCTAATCCTTGTTATAGATTAGTGATTAAAAAAGTTTAGTTAATTTATTAAAGTCCTGACATCCTGAGCACCCGTGAGGCGACAGTTTATGTTGGGAGCAAAGTGCCACTGCTTACACAAAAGGTATTTTTTAATTACATTGTAACACCCTCTTGAAGCTCGGCAACACTGATGATGTCAAGTCGATACTGTCTGTAAGAGCTTCCTTTAAATGAATGGAATTATAAATCTACCTATACTATCGGTATCAGCGCTCGGCGGGCTCCATCAAAGAATGATAAGTAAACATGAGAACAAATTAACTGACCCATCACAAGAAATGAAACAAAAATTAATTATGACTATTTTAATGGGATACCGACCATCTAATAAACCTATACCTATATTGTTAGTAATGGAGTGTAAGTATTCTTTATTACTAATAATTCCTTTTTTCTGCCTGTAATGATATTGTCCTCTGGTGTCAGAAATTTTTTGTCACTTTTTACATAATTAGTCAATGCAGAGAAGGGATACTTTATCAGCAAATAAAATAATAATATATATATCCTCATTTCTCCCGAGATGACCCTCAAATGACTATAATTTTATTAAGTAATATATAATTATTTCCTTATAATCACGCTCCATTACCAGCCGTCGTAAGATTTAGTACAGGTAATCATTATCTAGATTCCCGCATTTAATTGAATAATATCTTAGATAACATTTAAATAATAAAGGTTCAGTCTAATTTTCGAGTAATCCTGTTTTTTTATCAGCTTTAGTTAAAATATAATATAGAGTTGGCGACACTGAGTACTTTTTTTTACACAGAGTAGATTGGTATATACTTTAATGCCTTTCTGACCACATTTGACACACACAATTGACATTGATAGTTAACGTCACGTGCACACTACGATATCGATACACATTTGTTCTTGTTTCATTTTCACATTTTTATAACCTTAAATTATTTATATTTCTTCAATGAAATAATTATGATTGTGAATGTATATAACTTATAAGTGAGCTAAAACTGTTAAAATTGCTATTACTGTCTGTGGTTAATATATTTTTAAGTGTCTATAAAAATGGGAAAACGTAAAGGAAAGTGTGCAAAAAAGAATCCTGCCAGTAAACAGGCTTTGGAACCCGAACATTTGGTGAAGGCGCCTCACTCGTTTGTAATTCATCGCGGACAATGCAGTAAGGACCTCATAGAATTAACTAAGGACTTCAGAAAACTTATGGAACCGTTCACAGCATCGCAACTTAAGGTAACAATTGAGTATTGGTAAAGTATAAATGTTTGCGATTCTCTATGTTTTGATCAGTTTATCCCACATTATTATTTATGTACTGCTTATGAAAACAAAAAAATATTTTCAAATTCATTCACAAAGTATGATCCACATGAATTCTCACGCGTCTTGAATAAGTAGTTGTTTATTAACTGAAGGGGTAGTTAAAGTGATAAACTTAAATGTATATTGCCAATAAAATGTAATGTCAATAAATGCAACTTGGCCAGAATAATTCCTTATGACACTTTTTTGTTGTTTATATTTAGGTGAGTAACTGTTAAAATGAGAAAATAATAACATACACATATTTCAGGAGAGAAAAAAGAACACTATCAAGGATTTTCTGTCTGTGTCTGGCTACCTTCATGTCTCTCATATGATAGTATTCACCGAGACCGAGCTTGGAACGTATATGAGACTAGCACGGCTGCCGAGAGGACCCACACTCACATTTCGTCTTCATAATGTAAATTTATGCATATTATGTGACTGAGTAATTAAAATTAAAATTTATATTCATATATATTTAATTTATTAAGTTATAGCTGTAAGCTTCCCTCAGAAATAATAAATAAAATTTATTTGAAACAAATATTTACTGTTAATATAATTATGATCACTTTTTTTTTTATACCACTGAGGTGGCAAACAAGCATAACTGATGGTAAGTGGTTACCGTAGCCTATGAATGCCTGCAATACCAGAGGTATTACGCGCGCATTGCCAACTTATCATAGTTTTACTACTTACTTAGATAAATGGTCATAATTATAGGTATGAAATTTAAGATAGTGTCACCAGTATTTTTTTAATAATGTATATTAAATTTTTTACAATTAATTAATTATTATTTTTAACAATCAAAGTATAACAATAAATATTAAATTAAATTACGTTGTTTTACCATATAATATTTATGATAATTTCTCATACTACAATTATTATATTCGATTGCCATCTTGCAACCCTGTTGTGGAATATAAAAATCGTGATTAAAAAACAGGGATTGATCGTAAAAGTTATATATTAGATAATATTTAGCTGTAAGATTGTGCCAATATAGTTATTTCAAATAACTCTTTTATTTCAACTTTTAACACCCTATTATCAGATAGATTGAACCATTAATTGCAAGCTGTATAAAAACCACAAAAATAACAAAAAATTTTAATTCACAGATATTTTCTCCTATTTCAACTTTTAGAGTTATTTAGAGTTATAAAATTGATTAAATAATTTTTGTTTTACAGTACAGCCTCGCTCGTGATGTGATATCCTCTCTCAAAAAGCAATATGTAATTATGAAGGCATTTCAAAATGCTCCTCTGATTGTGCTCAACAGTTTCTCAGGTGAAGGAATGCACATGAAGCTGATGGCGACCATGTTCCAAAATATGTTTCCTACAATTAATATTACCACAGTAAGTAGTATGGTGTAAATACAGATCTACACTTCTTCCTAATTTATTATTTGATAGATACTTAATAAAATTGAATTATTTTATAGGTAATAAGCTGTAACTTAAAAAAAAAAAATTGTGTGTTGATGGTTACAGAATGAAAAAGAATTATTTACAAAACAGCAAATAATTATTTTTTGTTACGTTAATACTGGTGTGTATTGATATTTGGAATTTAGCATCTTGATTTTTTTTTATATAACTTAGAAACGCACAACGGCCCAAATGAGAGGCTAAGTGCGGAAAACAGAGTCTTTCTTACAACTTAGAATGGCAAATTCCTCTGTACCCAGTAAATTCACGCCATATCTCACCCTTCAAATCGAAACACAGCCATGCAAACACAACTGCTTTACGGTTGAAACACGAATGGGACAGAGGTACTTAAGCAATCGACTTTTGTACAAAGTATAAATATTTTTACATATAGTTAGTTATTAGTTTTACATATATTTTGTTATATTATTCTTATGACCAAATAGATGAGATTTTCTGATGTTAAGTAAGTTTATAAGATCAACAAATCTTATAGACATCTACTACAAAGTACTGCAAATTATTATAATTTGGCAATTGAAGGTTAAAGATTTCACTTGAAATTGTTAGATATGTGGGTAGTACTAAGTACATACAGGTGGCTACGTCCACCTTTATAAGATGATCCACCTTGTTTATTAAACTAGTGTGTAACCAACCTCTATGTTCACTTGTTGCTTACCAGAGGGAGACTTTGTACAAAAGTTGATTGCTTGGGTACCCCTGTCGCATTTGTGTTTCAATCGTGAAGCAGTTGTGTTTGCATGACTGTGTTTCGGTTTGAAGGGTGGGATATGGTGTGAATTTATTGGGTACAGAGGAATAACACCTGAGTTCTCAGGAATGTATGTAACAGTATACTCTGTTATGTCCATGGTACTGGTCATGTCTATAGGTGACGGTTACCACTTTCCATCAGGTGGACCGTCATCTTGTTTGCCCAATCTAAGTTGTATAAAAAAAAAACCCCAACTTAGAAATATACAATAGAAATTGTAGTAATTAAAAAAATATTTACATACAAATAATTTTTGTTACAAGTTATTGATAAATATATATATATATATATATATATATATATATATATATATATATATATATCACAGTATATTCTAGTAATTTAACTTTTTCTTCCAAAATACCATTTTCAGTTGTGGCCAAACTAATTATTTTGATGTAAAAACTAAATGACTGAATTGATTTTAGTAAAATTTCTACAGGAACAATCTGAAAGTATATCCTTTAAAATAATAAAATAATTTCCCAAATTAACTTCTAAACGACGGAGTTATGAGGTGAAAAATATAAAAAAAAAATTCAAACATATTAAAAACCTCCTTTTTTTGAAATAATTTGGAAACTGCGTTTTAGTAATATTTTAATAATTACCATATAAGAAAATTGTGCATTCATTTTTCAGATGGTGCAAGGTAAAATACCCAATCTAAACAGATGTCGAGATATGTCTGAATTCTTCGATAAGTAAGTATTGTGGAATATTATTAAAAAATGTTTATATATCACTAAGATTGTAAACAAGCACAATGAGCTGGCTTATATTTTTTTTGTAATGTTTTTTTAATACTCTCAGACCTAATTATTATATTACACTGGATTATTTAATTACTGTAATATTGACTTTCATTAGTACAAATATGTGTACATGGCGGACTTAACGCTAAAAGCATTCTCTCCCACTCAACCATAGGGAAGTGTCAGAATACTCGAATGCGGTACTAGTAATTATTGATATACATACATACTAAAATTATTTTTAGTAAAACAGAAAATGCTAAATGTATGTAACAATCTTCTTTTGCTCTCTCAACATTCATGTCTGTTATACAAATTAGTAAGTTATGAATACATTTCATCATCATCATATCAGCCTGTAGACGATGCACCGCGCACCTCGTAATTATTTAATATTTAAACTTTATAATTTGTTCTTAATGTAACCACTAGCGCCATTTGTTGGTACTTTAATGGACTTGATGCCAGCGCGCATGCGCCGCGTGCATGCCACGTGACACGTGTGTGCACGAGTCAGTTTTGTTTTGTGAGTTGTATAAAGTGTCTTGCCAGTGTCCGTGTCTAATTTTAAAAAGATCAATAAAACTTCATAATACCACGCGGAGTTCATTATTTTCGGCATTTTCCAACACCGGTCTTTTACATCAGCCATTAGCTGTTCACTGTTGACCACAGGCCTCCCCCTATTGTGCTGTTTTGCCAGTAGTTGCCACGCTTGGCAGGCGGGTTGGCAACCGCAGTTAGGCTTTGGTAATGTTTTAAGAGGAACGCTGCTATCCATATCTTGACAATTTAGTTCCCCTAGTCGCATCTTATGACACCAACGGGAAAGGAAGCGTAGGCCCATTATATTCACTTGACCCTTTATCGCTATGTGATCTATTTCCTTCTTGTATATTTTTCATTTATTAAAAAATAAGTAGAGATATCGATAAGTTAGCATTTACCGATATCTATCTATTTTTGAAAAAAAAAAACACTTAATTTTTTTACAGGGCAGCCTTATTATCGGAAAGTGAGTTTGAAGACGATCCCAACTCCCAAGTGGTGCTGCCTCAGACATTGTCCTCTAGAGGCGCCGCAGCGGACTCCAAATCAGCTATTAGGTTATTCGAATTAGGGCCTAGGATATCTTTCCAACTTATCAAAGTGAGTATTTTTTTAAATATGGCCATCAAATTATGTCACTTCATACAATGGATTCAAGCTATATCTGTTACTAGCAATGTGCCCTGACTTCATACTTTTTTTTAATAAAATACAGTTTATTTTACTCACGCTATGTTATCAAGCTTTTTGTAGGTGAAAGAATTTTTTAAATTTGTTAAGTATTTTTTGAATTTATCCATTACAACAACAACATACAAAAAATAAATCTTTCCTCTTTACAGTTATAGTTTAAATAAAATTTTATTGAAATTTCTTCAGACATTTTTTTGGATGAGGTAACAAACATAACTATTTACTATTATTACTAAATATTCTCACTTCCTTTTAGGTAGAAGATGGATTAATGGATGGTGAAGTACTGTTTCATGAGTTGGTGGAGAAAACAGAAGAAGAGAAAGCATTGATAAAGAAGAAACGAGAAGAGAAGAAGTAAGTATTGTAATTGCTCCAATATCTTCAATTAATTTAAGAAGATTAATTATAATATTATTTTCTTTTACATAAAACCTTGCAAAATCTATTCAAGTTATCATAAAACTTATAAAAACATAAGTTACATACTTACAAGTGCAATAAAGAATATATATATATATATATATATATATATATATATATATATATATATATATATATATATATATATATATATATAATTGTTCATTTTGTTTCTTATATTAAATACTGCCATTGTACTTCTATGTGCTTTCGACCGAAATATAACTGTGCACGCATTGCCGTCTCACGACAGAAATAAAAGCGTAACGCTACCGTACCTAGCAATGCAAGTTATAAACAATTCTACAATTTCCAGGCGTCAAAAGGAGAAGCGTAAAGCCCAGCAAGAAGAAAATGTGAAACGGAAACAGCAACACAAAGAGGAGCTTAAACAAAAAGCTCTCGACGGAATAAAGAGAAAGAAAGAGATGACGGAGAGTCAGAGGTGAGATATTGTTTATATTCACTAATAAGTAATATTGATTTATTATTTTCAAAAATTTGTTAATTTTTTAACGATATTCATACATATGTATATTTGCAAGTTTTTTTGTTTTTACGACGTTTATTGTATCCGACAATTGTGACGCAAAGCGCCCTATACCTCTTGCAGATTTCCGGACGAAGTGGAAACAATTGTCGGGGGAAAAATTCTGTTATACATATTTATTTATTTATCACAAAATACATTGTGTAGGATAAATACTACAAAATAACATTATAAATTAAAATTACAGTTCATTTACAGTTAATACAATTCAAACTGTTTTGACTGGGGGCAAAGGGATTTTTAGCAATGGAGTTTGACAGCCCCATTGCTAGCAATATGCCCTATTAAGTCGACCTCCACGTGGTTCCCCTGGAAACCATCGTGAACAATTCATGTTGAATTCGTCACGATGGGCTAATTGACCTGCTTCATCCTCACCTATCATCCTTCACTGGTGCCCCGCCGGTGTATACCGTTAGCACGGGTGGGATTACCATTCCATTACCATCCATTAAAAAAAACTTTTGACTGTAAATGGACGGAGCCTAGTGTTACCCATTTACCACCCAAACTGAGAAACCGAACGATGGACAATATGAACTTCCGCAAGATAACACCAAGTTTAGTAAAATAAAAGAACATATATAAATACAATATGAGAAAAAGCAATAAATGCATTAGTAATAATGCGAAAATTCATTCGTGTTTCAACCGTGAAACAGTTGTGTTTGCATGGCGGTTTCGGTTTGAAGGGTGGGATATGACGTGAATTTACTGGGTACGGAGGAATAACACCTGAGTCCTCAGGAATGGCAACGCATGGGGGGTATCATGGGCGATATACTCTGTTATGTCCATGGTACTGCTCATGTCTATAGGCGACGGTTATCACTTTCCATCAGGTGGGCCGTCAGCTTGTTTGCCATTCTAAGTTGTATAAAAAAAAAAAACAATTGTAAAGGAGACCGTAATTTTATATACTTTTAATATATTTTCTGTGTACTTTTATTCTTTAATCATACTTGTTATTACAAATTATTGACATACAGCATGGTCTGTTAATTTTATGTATTTATACTGTACAGATAACGGTCGTACGGTCCCAGCATAGAAATAGGCCACCCCTTCCTTTCCCGTGGGTGTCGTAAGGGGCGACTAAGGGAGGGCGAGGGACGGGCAGCAATGTTCCTCTTAAAATATTTTTATAAATATATATAAAGCCTAATTGCAGTTGCCAATCCGCCTGCCAAGCGTGGCATTTACTGGCAAACTCCCCTAAGAGGGAGGCTTATGTTCAGAAGTAAAAGGATACTGCACAGATAAAAAAAATTTTAACGCAATGTAATTAATATATATAATGTACGTGACAATTTGTGTCTTATTTATTTTTATTTTGATATTAGCCCGAGTTAATTTTACTAAATTACTAAGCAATTAAATTGCTCTTACTGTACAATTATTACTTATCACTTTATAAATTGGATCCAGGTTAATGGAATTGGCTGCGGCTGAATCTCAGAACCCAGCGGACGTGGAGGAAGACGAAGATGACGACGCTGAATATTATAGGAAGGAGGTCGGCGCTGAGCCCGAGCAAGGTGCGCTAGTTTTTACTAGTTATTTCTTTAGTAATAGGGTAATGAGGCACTTTTTTTTAATTATTAAAAAAGTTTTTTTTTTTTTAACTAAACAATGAATCTGTATCATTCTTTGAGAGAACAATATAGTTTTAATTTATTCATACTATTTCAGATACATAAATCCATGAGAGTCTATGTTTTCTGTGATGCGTGTAGTCTGTACTATTCGTGTCTATGGGTGACGGTTGTCACTTTCCATTATTTCTTTAAAATGTCAATTTGGTATGGTTATGATTTTATATTTATTCATAAATATGTAACATAATTGTTTAATTTTATAATTTAACAATATACTAAAAAGGTAAATTTGTAAGGAAATTGTTGCTATCAAAATGGATCAAATTGTAGTCAGAAAATAAAAAAAAAGTTTATTAATACTATTATTATAAGATTGCTTTATGTGCTTTTCGTTTAAATAAATAAATAAAATAAACAACTGTAATGAGGACATTTTTTTTTTAATAAAATAAAAATTTCATATTTCAGATCTGTTTACGGAAAAACGAAAACGTAAAATTGAAGACGATTCCAACAGAGGTTTTAAGAAGATGAGATTAGATAAGAAGTTAAAGAAAAAATTCCAAAAAAATCAAGACACTGGTAAAAATGTCCAAGATGGAAACAAGAGAAACCAGGAACACGGTAAACAGAGGTTTAAAAAAGACAAAGAGGGTGGTAGAAAGAAATTTAATAAGAGACCAGAAGATGGTAGAAAAAAACAGAAAGGGCCTTTCAATAAACAGAAAAAGGTATTTGGCGGGAAAGTCAATAAATTTAATAGAGGCAAAGGCCGAGAAGGTAAACCTAAGGGTAAAGGAAAAAATAGAAAATAGTAATAAATTATCTATTACAAATTGATGAATGTTTATATTTCATTTTCGTCCAAATTTTCCATATATAATATTTATTATGTATTTTTATTAATATGAAACAAAAATATGTATCGGAATGATTCTTTATTTTGTTACGTGACATCTTTTATATCCATGAAAAAAAATAAACCTAGACAGGTTTCTAAGAGTACACCTAATTTTACGAACGCTTTAAGATATTTAGAAAAATTTTATTATTACCATTTCATCCACAAAAATTTACTGCTTTAACAGTAATAAATTTAATAGAGAAAAACATGGGACTAAACTTTTTTTTTATACCACGAGGGTGGCCAACAAGCACACAGCCCGTCTGATGGTAAACGATTATTGTAGCCTATGGACGCCTGCAACAGTGTAGGTATCGCGTGCGCGTTGCCAACCCTGAAGAAACTTTAATATACCATTTTTGAAGAATTCCATACTGTAGTTTCTAGAGAAAATCTCGGCAGAGAATATCCATTTTTTTTTTTTTTACAATAAACTCTTGTTTATAATAAAAAATAAAATATTAAAATATGCCGAAAATGTTACGTAATATACAAATGTAAGATACAGTGAAATGGCAACTTCCTGTTTTTTTCGCTAGTGTAAATATATTTGCAGATTTAAGAAGCTGCAGTCTTCCCCTATATCTTAACCACAATACGGGAAAATCGTAACTAGTAATCAATGGTTTTCGATTCGAGTCGAGGGATGAAAGTTAAATACTTCTTAATTTTACGACACAGAAAGAAAAACAATAATTTGATCTTTAATCATTTATTCATAATATGATCCATTACAAAAACTAAATTAATCGCAATTAAATTTATGATTCCTTAATGCTATTAACAAAGTTGTCGTAGCAGTTTACACAGCCTTACACAACTATTACTACCTAGATCGGTAGACAGATCAAGATTCATGTGTATTTCACATAATTTTGTACTTCCCATTTAGAGGCGGATATATCCTGTAATCACTATATACTCCCTGATTTTTATTACTATGATCTCTATTAATTTCCATGGTAAATGTATCATTTAAAAAATGTATCTCACCCTGAATTTAGAGAAATTGAACATCTGTTATACTTAAACACGACATTTGAAGATGCAGTTTATTGCTAGTTAACATTTTTAGTATTATACCTGCATCTTTTAAATTTGTTTAAAAAATTAAAACATATCATAAAATTTTGTAATGTATATTTCATACCAAGAATCAAGGTATATTGGTATGACGTTATTGATATGTTCCTAGCTTTACAATCAACAAATCAAGTTTGTATTGTTAAATCAAAAATACAATATCATCAGCCATCATGACTTGGTTGTCTGCCGTCATGCGCTCGAGCGCGGCATGCACCTCGGCAGTGTCGAATGTCTCGTGCGAGTACTGCTCGTTGACGTAGCTCGTGATGCGGTCCAGAGGCAACGAGTTGGCGCGCTCGTCGCGGAACAGCTGCTGGAGAGCGTTCTTGAACTGACCCAGTCTGGAAATGAATAATTTACATACATTAAATGTGTCTTCTTGCCTATTGCTGTGTGGTGCAAGCATAGAATAGGCAACCCCTTGCTTTCCTGTGAGTGTATTTATCTATATTTGTAAATCACCGTGTCTTGATAATCTCTTATGGACTCCCGCGATACAGGTTCGCCTAATGCGTTGGTCCAATGTACTGACATTGTAAATTTGCTGTGTTTAATAAATAAATAAATAAAGTGTCGCAAAAGGCGATTAAAGGAGGGCGAGTGATGGGCAGCAGCATCCCTAAAACATGTCTAAAGTCTAACTGTGAGCCAAACCGCCTGCCAAGCGTGGCCACTATAGGCACAACCCCAAGGGGTTCACCATCATATAATAAAGATGCAATGTGTCTTCTTCATGTCCAATTAATATTATTAAATTTTACAACTGGTCTCTTACAAGATCAGTTAATTTGAACAGATATTTCCACCCTTATCTTCGTGATTGGGCCATTGTGCATGAAAGCTGGATTAACCAGCTAATTTAGATTATATCAGAAAATAGCTTAGTTAAAAAAAACAACACTTGTCCAATTTTCTAGCTTATCTTACACCTCTCACTTCTATCACAAATCCTTACTATAAAAAAGTGAGTTTGTTTGTCTTGGTATTTTAATGGTTTAACCAATTATTATGAAATTTGATATACAGATAAAAGAGAGAAAAGGACATAGGATACATGTTATCTCAGTCAGTGAACATACTTCGGTCTCGCGGATTAAAACTAATGTGATTATAATACATATATAGATAATTGTTTTTATAACAGTGTCAAAATTGTGATTCAACTAAAAATTCAAAACACCTTTTAGCGTCTATACTCTTCTGTGAGGATCTGGTGGTCCGCTGTGTGGGCTCGGGCTGCGAGGAGTGCGCCGCCCGTAGGACAGGCTCCGCTTCCTCGTCCGATGAGAACTGGTACGGGTCCTCGCTTTCGCCATCCTGTATAAATAAAATATTTCAAAGTGGCTCTCTCGATTTTCAAACTCAGTGGATGCAGATGCCTCAGTTCCTTATGGTCATCTATGGGGGAGGCCCTTCAGTAGTAATGGCTGAGATTATTATGGCGATTTCTTTTTCATAGCATTTTAGAATGAAGTACCACTTTGCGAGATCTTTTGGCGCGCGGTCGCTTCTGGTTGTCGGGCGCGGCCTCCGCATCGTCCGCCTCCTCGTCCGACGACGCGCGACGCTTGCGACGTCTCTCCTTCGTCAATACCTGAAACACACATAATACAATAATGTCTTTATTTTATCATACGAATTAAATTGAATTTTTTTGTCAACTATGGGCACTGTAGATATGTCGATATGTATGCATCAAAACAACGCGAAGACGCTGTCAGTTAGTTCTGGGGGTCTGCTGCTTGACCTGATCGGGTTTATGGGTTATTATAAACCAAATTTAGTACATAAGAGTGGGGGAAGGGAATATTAGTATTGGGGGAGGGGTCTCAAAGCTTCATTGCTACCTATCAGGTCGATCTTCTTATAGTTCCTCCTGGAAATCATCATGATTAATTTCCGATGAATTCGTCATGATGGGCCAACTGACCAGAATTCATCCTCACCTATCATTTCTCACTGGTGCCCCGCCAGCATATGTCAATAGCGTAGGTGAAGTTCCCATTCCATCTTCACCCACTAAATATACATAAAATTGTGAAGCCACATACCTTCTTGAAATATGCGTACTGCACGAGGTCGATGGCGGCGGAGGCGTCGTCGTGTGTGACCTGGAAGCTGAGGCGGCACTTAGCGTGCGCGGTGGCCAGCCGGATCAGCGTCTCCAGCGTACGCGCTGTCACCGGCTGCGTCTGCGCACACACAAACAATTTCACATACACCATAAAATCCATTGAGATTCATAAATATGTATGATCAAATTCAAGTCGTAGGCCATATATACAACTAAAATTAAATTTGACATCCTTTGTGTCGCAGCTGGCATACTGCTTTGCATGATGAGGTCTCGTGTTCTATTCTTGGTAGAGCCAATATAAGAAAAGAACTCTTCTAAATTGGGTCTAGCTGTTCTGAGTGGTCTCTCCAGCTGTTTGTTCCTTAGTTCATCATAACACAGGATATCCTATTTTGATAAATCAGTACATATAGTATGTTATGTGCCGAGTTAACCTACCTGTGTACCAAATTTCATACAAATCCGTTTAGTACTTTTTGTATGAATGATATCATTACATCAACATCATCATAACAGCCTTTAACTGTCCACTGCTGAACATAAGCCTCCCCTTTGGGGGTTTTACATAATTTGAATAATTCCTTACTCTCGCCACGTCGCTGTCCATCATATCCTGGTTTCTGAGCTTCGCGTATTCGTCAGCGATGACGTCGGACGCCTCCTGGGTGAGTTTCGGCTTCATGAGGCGCGCAATGTGAATGAACTTGCGCATGAACTTGGTGCTCAGGATCTGGTCCTTCTTGCTGCGAGTGTTACCGTGCAATAGAGGGTCATACTTTTCATATATGGACTCATTGGTTTCCTAAAAAAATTATAATATGTGAATCTCTACAGGTTAGTTCATAGAAATATAAAATAAATATAAGAATATAATTATTGTATAAAATAAATAAGGTCTAAAATTAAATAACAGGCAAGGCACTATCACAACTTTAAAAATTGCAGCTTATCAGTTGTGGTAAACTAATGAATTGATAGATACGTTTTCGCTATCGCTTGCAGTAGAAGACACAGCATCGTCCTACAATTTGTTCCTTCTTATGCGTCATTATCATAATTTCAACCATTATTCATCCACTATTGAACAGTCTATGTACCCCCATAGACTACCATAAAGAACAGTCCTGAGCCACCTGCATCCACTGACTCCCTGCGATGCATTTAAGGTCGTCACTCTATCTAGTGCTTCTTATTCTTAACTCTTAGTTCTTATGCATGAAGTAACAAAATAGATTTGTTCAGAACTTGTCTAGGAAGCTGGGTTTTTTTTTTTTCGGTCCCGGATATTTAATTTCGGGTTTATTACTTTATTAATGGAGTTTTTTGTTTTAATAATATTAAACATGATAAAGGTAGGGGTTAAAACAGGTGCTTTACAAAAATCATATAACACATTTAGTGTAATGACAATTAAAATTAATTTTTACATATTTTTAATTTGCAAAAGATGCTTTTTTAATTATAATGCACTATTATACCTACTTGTACAACAATTAGTCCATTACCTTAATGTTGTCTTGAAAAGATTGCTCTCAGCAATAAGACCGCCTTACTGTACTTATACAATTGTATCGTTGTGTTTGTAAATTGTCTTGTTTATTTCCTATATTGTATAATGCAAATAAAGTATACTCATTCATTCATTCATTCATTCAAAATCTTATTACCAATGTCTTCACTTAGAGATGCCTATTAAACTCAGTTTTAATAAATAAATCTTTACTAATACCAATATTGATATGGGATGGAGAAAGATATAAGCTACTTTCATCGCGGTCACATACCAGAGTCACGCAAACGAAGCCGTGGGTAAAAGCGAGTGAAAAATAAAAATAGGATTAATATAAAGCAGCTATATTAAAACCTCGAAGGTTAGGGGGGAAAGGGATCGTTAGTAATGGAAATTGAGAATCCCATTGCTAGCAATATACCCAACCAGGTCGACCTCGCGGTTCTCCCTGGAAACTATCATGGTTAATTCCTGATGAATTCATCATGATAGGCTAAACTGGCCTGTTTTCATTTTCATCTATCACCCTTCACAGGTGCTCCGCCAATGTAGCCCGTTAGCGCAGGCGGGGTTACCATACCATTTTCACCCATTAAAAAAAAAACCTCGAAGGTTATCATTTCATGCGGATATACATGCAGTCTGATCTGATATTTATAGGAATCAATAGCCAAAACTCAAACTTTACCTCTACTTCATCGTTATCAGGATTTTCCGTTGAGAGCATTTCAACGGATGAACCCATTGGTAAAACTTCCCCATCTTGCTCCTTTGGGTTTCTGGAAGAGATATTTTATTCTTTATTGTACACAAAAGGTATTATTAGAATATTCATTATACATAATAGTGCACGAGGCCAACAAACCTAATATGAAATAAATTGACAACTTGTTCACAGTTACAGTTGTAGCAAATGACTTATTTAAATGTTATTGTTAAAAATAAATGCCTGTACAGTTGAAAGTAAATATAAATACATAATAAATAAATAATTATATATCAGTAATTTTTTTTTCTATACAACTTAGAATGGCAAAAAAGCTGACGGCCCACCTGATGAGAAGTGGTAACCGTCGCCTATAGACAGCTGAGTATACTGTTTCACCCATGACACCGCCCCATGCGTTGCCATTCCTGAGGACTCAGGTGTTATTCCTCTGTACCCTGTAAATTCACGCCGTATCCCACCCTTCAAACCGAAACACAGCTATGCAAACACAACTGCTTCACGGTTGAAACACGAATGGGACAGAGGTGCCCAAGCAATCGACTTCTGTACAAAGTCTCCCTCCGGGTTTTTTATACATATTTATATAGATTTTATATATATTATATATAATACACAAATATAATAAGTACATACATCAGCATTTTGAAAAGTAATTCTTCAGACGAGATTTGAAAATTCCAATGCTTGAACTGTTTCTAATTTAATGACGAAATGTCTTTCATAATTTAATAACAGTCATGATAAAAGAGTCTGAATATGTTTGACCTGAATGAGACGCAAGTTTGTGATAAAAACGGTTAAGCATATTACTTATTATCAAGTATAGAAAATTAAAAAGTAAGGACTGTTAGTCATGTGATTCTAATAACCACATTACTAACAATTCACCATAACAGATCATCCTCCAACAGTTCTCCTGGAACATTCATTTTGGTTAATTCTAGTGGAATTCATCACAATGGACAAACTGGCTTGCTTTCAATCTTATTTATTATATATTAGTGATGGCCCACCAGTGTATACCGTATTCCGTAACATATCATTCCATTATCATCCATGAAAAAAAAAGTAAATACCTGTATCTATGCATCCGTAGTACATGCTCGGAGATCATGTTGTCGTGGTCGGCGTCAGCAATGTCCAGCATCACGAACAGAAGGTCGAAACGCGACAGCAGCGAGTCCTGGAGCCCGATGTTCTCCATCGGCGTCTTGTATTGGTCGTACTGTTATAATTAAATTACATTTGAAATTAATCTGTATGTATTATTAATTAATTTCTTTATAACAAAAAAACTAGTTTTGATAAAAAGATCGTGAGGTTTGGAAACAGGGGAAACAGATCAATTGGAAAGTATCATGTCCAATACTGGATCAACAGACAACCAGAGGGAGACTTTGTACAAAAGTTGTTTGCTTGGGTATCTCTATCCCATTCGTGTTTCAACCGTAAAGCAGTTGTGTTTGCATGGCTGTGTTTCGGTTTGAAGGGTGGGATATGGCGTGAATTTACAGGGTACAGAGGAATAACACCTGAGTCCTCAGGAATGACAGCGCATGGGGGATATCATGGGCGAAACAGTATACTCTGTTATGTCCATGACACTGTTACCACTTTCCATCAGGTGGGCCGTCAGCTTGTTTGCCATTCTAAGTTGTATAAAAAAAAAACAAAAACAAATTGGAATGATGGCGATAATAATAAGTCTTTATTTTTGTTATAGCATGACGTGTGGTCTGGTCACATCTGGTCATCCTGAGTTAATACAGAGACAACATATCAATGAATACAACCAACTAAAAAGATAATGTTCCACTGATAATGGTTGACTGCCCTGTGCCTGCTCACAAAGTGCTTTTTCACACTATGATTTGAAGAATCTGGTGGTCTACCATGAAATTAAATTCCGAATTTTCGGTCTCAATTTCGTGTTTTTGTTCGTACCGAAATCGACCCTGTAAATGGAGCTTAACATTTCGTTTGTCATAAATCCTACCATAAAAGTTCAAAGGAACGATATTTTAGCATTTTGTAATATTTTTAAACGGTACGTATCATGTAATTTTAGCATCAAATTTTTGTTTCGTTCAGATCCGAAATTTTGGAAAACGTTTCATGGTAGGCCCTCTGAGTCTTGATAATAAAGTGCAGATTACGTTTCTAATGTGAACATTGTGGTCATGGATTTTTTTTTTATACAACTTAGAATGACAAACAAGCTGACGGCACACCTGATGGAAAGTGGTAACCGTCGCCTATCTTACTTACTAGTACCTTATGAAGGCTTCCCCTAAGAGATTACAATATCAGTGTCTTTGGAGAAGGCGTTATAAATGTGACGTCAGGGTCGGCAATACGGCAGTAACATCACTGGTATAGCAGGTATTTCTATTAGGTGCCAGTTTAACTCAAATTCACAGATTTGGTGGCGATAAGCACAGAGCGAGGCGCACTAAGCAGCAATGTAGAGTATAAAAGACATAGTGCTGAATGTGGAAATAGTAATGCGAACACAGACCCTGCCGTAGACGGGGTTGGCGGCGGCGAGAACGGAACAGCGCGCGTTGAGGGCGGCGTGCACGCCCGCCTTGGCGATGGTGACGCGGCCCTGCTCCATCACCTCGTGGATGGCCGTGCGGTCCACGTCCGACATCTTGTCGAACTCGTCGATGCACACCACGCCGCGGTCTGCCAGCACCATCGCGCCCGCCTCAAGCCTGCACACGATACACATCTCTCATTACTGCTTATTATTGTTCCCTCTAGTCCCACACTAAACATAGCTACAGTAAATATTAGACAACCATACGTACATGTAAAAAAATACCAACTCATAAATATAAATGTTTGTATTGCATAGGAATTGAACCTATAATCATGAGATGGATAAGTGGTTTGTATGAGTGGGCGATGGGTGTACGATGCTCCATCATCAAAGTTACCTCAGACATGATAATTTTCCTTTTTTTGTGTCCATCATATCCTTTGTTCTCACAACACTGTAGAGATATTGGCCTCCTTTCTTAGTTCTCTAAGCAGAGAACAAACATAGATTGCAAAACATCTCTTCATAATTATTAATAAAATGCTAGAGCAATAAGCATGAACCGGGGGGAAGGGATTGTTAGTAATGGAATCTAACAGCCCCATTACTAACAATATACCCTATCAGGTCGACCTCCACGTGGTTCACCCTGGAAACCACAGTGGTTATTTTTTGTGAAATTAGTCACGATGGGCTAAGTGACCTGCTTTCATCCTCATTTGTCATCTATCACTGGTGTCCCGCCGGTGTATACCGATAGCGCAGGCGGGGTTACCATTCCATTATCAACCATTAAAAAAAAATAAGCATGAACCTTTGTAACACTAGCATAAAATGCCTATATTAACCCCAGGCGCGCCTTATTCCTTTACACACTCATACTCCCAGTGGTGTCAAGTACAAAACAAGTGGCTGAACTAACTCACCGCCTATCTCCAGTCTCCGGGTCAGTGGTGACGGCGGCGGTGAGACCTACGCCGGAGGAGCCGCGGCCGGTGGTGGTGATGGCGCGCGGGGCCGTCATCAGCACGTAGCGAAGTAGTTGCGACTTTGCCACTGAAGGATCGCCGATTAGTAGAATGTTGATGTCACTGGAATTAATAATATAAAATTACCTAATGTCACATTTTGAAATAAATTATCCTCTAAATATATCTATTATTTTTTTACAAAATAACGAAGGATGGCCACTAATAATAATAATAATCTAATAATAATCTTTATTATTCTAGAAAAATTTCGAATTTGCAATATAATTTGAAAAGATTAACTGTTGATTTTTTTATAAAAAAAAGTCTTTTCTCTATAGATAACAACAATACAAACCCACATAGGTTTAATACAAAAATGTCTATAAGTACTTATTTGTCTATTTATAAATAAATCTATCTAAATACCGAATTTATTTTTATTATCTTTTATGTCATGAAATAGAAATAATTTTTCTTTGATAATTGCTTACAATACCAAAGCCATCACTTTCATGTTGCAGACTAGAGTCTATAGTATTAGAATACTGTGTAAATATTTCATAAATTCTTCTATAATTATTTTCTAATTTACATATTGACATTTCTAATTATTATTATATCTATTTACGTGCAAAGTGCAATAGAGTCAAATATATGAACATACTTACCCTCTCAATCGTGTGCCATTAGGCAAAATCTTCTCCATCCCTCCGAGCAGCAAGCAAAGTATGGCCTTCTTTATAAAGTCATGGCCATGTATAGACGGTGCCAACGACTTACTCAACATCTCAAACATATCAACATTGGCACGTTTAGCTAGCCTCTTGCATAGTTTGATATCTTCTAATGTAATATTTGGATTCATGTCCTTATTTATTTGTGTTATGTTGTTAGCTATTAATATTGTTCTGAAATATTCATGACACTGTTATCATACATTATATAACATACTTATTATCACCATTATTATATTATATAGGGTTTTAGGATGATCACTGCAGAGTTGTCATTGCAGATATATATATATATATACTAGCTGACCCGTTGTTTTACCACTTATTGCGAAATATAAAAATCTTAAAATAATAAAAATATTACAATACAGGGGTTGATCGTAAAACGATAAAAATTTAAAGTTGTATATATTTTTCAATGCTAAATTATAATAAAATAAAAATAAAAAAAAATGTTTAAAAAATAAAAAAAGAATTTTTAGGGGCGGGTCACCCTTATCATTGGTGACCAATTCATCAAATTTAATGGAAATCGGTAAAGCAGTTTCGGAGGAGTTTGGTAACAAACAAAGTGACACGAGAATTTTATATATAAGATATATATATATATATTTTTTTTACATTAAAACACTAAACTACTACTCATGCAGGAGCTTAGTATTTAAATAATGTTTAAAGATAATTTATAAATTTATTAACATTTTTATGAATTAGGGCAACATATAAACAATTAAAAAGTATTAGTTTAACCTTCCTCATTTATAAAAACAAAAAACCTATTTTAAATGAGTATATTTAATTACTTTTTAACTTTTGTTACTTTTTCAAATTAAGAATTTAACACAAAAGATAAAAAAAAATTAATAACTAAAAGTGGTTTATGAGAAGTTTGATGTTTCCATAAATAAAAGAACAATCATATATTTTTAATAATTGTGTATGTGTGTAAAATAGATATTAACCTGAATGTGCCAGCAGTAAAGCTGCCCTGTTTTGATGGCAGGCACCGGTAGTTGCCAACCACTTGTACTCTGTCCCCAGGCTTGCATTTGTCCACCAGGTCATCATCACAGATTATATCAACACTCCTAGGTAGCTGGCCAGCAGGTGCCTTCTCCGGCATCTCCTGCACTGTTATAGTCTGGTGGTCTTTGTAGCGGGACAGACCAAATTCTGTCTCTAGGGGATTACCTTCATCATCCTAATAAGAAAAAATTTAAACATTGATTGAATAAATAAATGCTTACATTGATAAGCAGACATGTTACATTTGTTAATAAAAAAATTTTAGTATGTCTCATTATCATATTTAGTCATTTACAAATAAAACAAACATAAAAAATATTTAAAAAATTATTGGTCATTTTAATTCAGCTATTTTTTTACTTTGTGCAGTTATTTCAATAACAATATATGGCAAGATTGTTTACTAATAATGCCAATTATAGAAAAGTAGGTAGGTTGGCAACTACTGGCAAAATTCCCCTTATGAGGAAGGCTTACATCCAACAATGGACAGTTAAAGGGCTGAAATAATAATAAATAAAAAAGTAGATAGCTATGAGCACATATTATCACAAGCATATTTAGAGGAGGAGGGGGCAGATTGGCCATTATAGTTATTAAATTCATAACAATAGAAACAACAAAAGGCAATAATATATAATAACAAACATATAAAAACAAAATAAAAACTAATATTCATTTTTATTTTGTTATTAAGACAATAATTCTAACAGTTATTGGAACACTCTGCTGGTTTGAAGCTGTAAGACATGTAACTGTCAATAAAGGAACTACAGATCTCTTACCTTAGTGGGGTATACAGCAGATGTAGGGAATGCTTCAAATGAGGTGAGGTCTGTGTATTTACGTTCCATTACTTTCTTGGTGGCTGGACAATAGTGCACGCTTCGAACTACTTTTGGTCTTACTAGGGACACTCTTGTCACAATACCCTCCACACATATCAGGTTTCCCAGAAACCTGAAATATTATTCATTAACTCACAAGAATGTGATAAAATGGTAAAAAAACATTTGTATATTTTTTCTCCTTGTATAATATACTCTTGTTAGTGATTCACTAATCATTTAGTAGCATTAAAGACAGGGGGTGTGCAGATGGGGGGTACCCATTTAAGAATCATCTTATGCACATCCTAGAATAAGAAGCATTGTTTTCAGCTATAAGCAAAGACAGGTTCAAGAGTACATTAAGTCCCTTTTTTAAGAGCAAGTGAAACCCTGGAAAATAATCTTAAATGTGCCAATATCATGATGTTTAGACTTATTTTATAATAAAATTTTAATATTTATATAGTTTGCAATAAAAATCAATCATTGACTTCTTGATGGAACCTTACTATATTAATTATATGGTATTATTTAAAAATTGTAACATTAAGTCATCTACATAATATGATAATAGTGGACTATACTCTATGGGGAAGCCATGCCTAACAGTAAAAGAAGAATGAAATATTAATATAATTTGTATTAAACGTACCGAGACGTCAAGCTCCTAGGAGTAACATGTTTGTTACCAAAACTACCAGAGAAAGCAACAAAGAATTCCTCTTTCACTTTGGCATATGTGGGGTCGATAGATGATACATATTCTTTTAAAGCTTTCTGAAACGCTATTTGCTCTTCAAAAGCATTCTGCAGCAAGCTTTTAGCCCGCTCCGGGTTCTTTCTTCTAAGATCATTCACATTAACAATAAGTCGCTGAGATTTATCTGCTACCATTTGTTTTACGGCTTCCATATATATTCCTTGGTCTTCCTAAAAATAAATAGCAGTTTATAAATAAGATGCAAAATTAACAATTAAAACAAGTTTAAAAAAAATAAGGTTATAACGAAACTTACCTCATCGTCTAAAAACTCCAAATATTCTCTTTGTAAATCTCTTAAGCGTTGGTCAAAATCTCCATCTTCCATTTTGTAAATTCTATTTTAATTAGCCTTTGTTAAATTGAATCTGATAATAATTAAAAACATAAACTAGAATAAAAATTAAAAATGCAGCAATGACAACCAAAGACAGTTTGACAACTCGTGAATTTGGCGCCAAAACTTATTTTTTAATTCAAAAATTCAAAATTCAAAATTCAAAAATCATTTATTCATGTAGGACATTTTAGCCGCTTATGAACGTCAAATTTTTACATTATAATTTTATATTTACCCTAAGTTCGGTATATAGATCCAATTTTTTATTACTTTTTTTTTTTTATTTATTTATTTTAGGGTAAAAGATTTTACATATACAGCTATGTATTTCAAATTACCAAATGTCTTCTTAAATAGTCCACAGAGCAAGATCACCTATGCTCACGCTAGTATAATCTATAATTCAGGGATTGTCAATGTCAATATTGACAAACATAAATGAACTGTCAAAGTAGGCAGATTAATAATTTTTAAATCCGAAAACCAATAATATTATTTATCGTTTGTCTGGTTTTTATTATTGTCTACTAAGATTATTCTGATTATTCCATTTTTGCATCATATAATAATAAAAAAAATAAATGGCATAAAACCAATTGTATTAAAAATAAATACTTTATTTAATAAATGTAGCAACATGTCGGAACAAAATTCTAATTCTAACCTCTCTCCACCAAGTAAAGCCAAGGAAACAAATAGACTTAAGTTAAAAATCTTAGCATTTCATGGATACAGACAGAATGGTGCAGTGTTCAGAGCCAAAATTGGATCATTTCGCAAAGCAGTGTCTAAGTACGCCCAACTTACATTTATATCCGCGCCTCATAAAGTTGTAAACGAAGACGGCGGAGAAGAAGATGGTCTGATTAATCCCATAATTATTATGTTAATGAATGATTTATTTGTTCTTTCTACCCATTTATATTTAATCATCAATTTCTTTATAAAAGATTTTATTTTGACCACTCTAAAAACAACAAGATTACAATCATTGTCTATATTATGTTAAACCCTTTGATTTTCTGAATAATATGCTAAAACATTTCTTTTAAATCTTTTAAACAACACCTTTCATTATCAATTTATGGTTATTATATTGTAGATGCTCGTTCATGGTGGTTCAATGCTGAAGATAATACATTCAGTGGAAAATGTTTGGGTGGGCCCGCTATTGGTTTTGAAAATACCTTACGCCTGATAGAAAAGACGGTGGTGGAGCATGGGCCTTATGATGGGTTCATGGGGTTCTCACAGGGAGCATGTCTTGTTGGGTTGTTGGCTGCCATGCAGAACAAAGGATGTAAGTTATTTTAACAGGTCAATGTTTTGAGTTTATATAATATACACTTCAGTACATTTTTTTGTGTTGAAATAACTAATTATTAATTTTCAACTTATGCATATTTAGAAATTTGTTTTTTTATATATTTTTTTATACAACTTAGAATAGCAAACGAGCTGACTGTCCACCTGATGGAAAGTGGTAACTGTCGCCTATAGACATGAGCAGTACCATGGACATAACATAGTATACTGTTTTGCCCATGATACCTCCCATGCATCTATTGTCTATAATCTTTGAATAATTTTAGTTATTTGGTAAATGGAGCATCTGATATAGGGTAATTTCTTAGTCTCTTTTCATAATTGAGGTCTATAATCAATAGGGAACAATTATTATGATTTCTATTTATCAATAATATTAAATAAATTCTTCTTACCTATTAAAATATACTTACCTACTTCTGTGAATTAGAAAGAATAATTAAAAAATATAGATTATATAAATATTCATCAACCAATTAAATATATCAAACAATTGTTCAATTGGTAGTTTGTCAAATTTGGCTTTATTTTTTGTATTATTAATAAACAAAATAATTTGTCTTTTAGATTTGCCTTACACATTTAAATTTGCAATATTTGCATCTGGATTTCGTTCGGGAAGCTTAGTTCATAAAGGATTTTATGATGAGGACATCAATTTACCATCACTACATGTTTATGGGGAAAGTGATTCAATTATACCAAAAGGTAAATTAATATAAATTATGAAATATTATTTATTATAATTTTTACAAATATTAATGATAATGAACAAATATGACAAGTGAACCTGAAATAGGTACAACTATTTGTACCTATTTCAGGTTCACTTGCTAAAATTTATTACTATTTTTTTTTTGCTTACTTTTTTATGGAATTTGTATTTAAATGATAGTTATAAGCTTGTTTCAACTTTGTAGTCCTATAATAATAATTAATATAATTATTTTCTCTATATCTTATTTAATTTATTGTCTTCTTGATCATTTATATTATTATCAACTATCTTGTTCTTTTCTATTCTTCCAATGTATGTGACATTGCACAACTAGAAAAGATCAATGCTCAATTTCCATCTAGTAATTATAATTTATTGTTTTGTAAGAAAACAAAATGGTCAGTGTTTAATAAAAAAATAGATAAAGAATACTAAGATTCTTAATATGTTTTTTATAAATTGATATCTGTCTAAAAACTGTCTTTACAAATTAATTAATACTTTAATATAATAATGTGATATAGTGTTTCATGTACTTAGTGTGTGTTGTTTGTTATAAATAAACTGTCAGTACAAGTGCTACTATCTTCACGCTGATCTTTCTTTCCATGTATATCTACTCCTAACAAGGTAGATATCCGGCTGCAACTCTAACATGACTAATTTTATATTATATATTTATTTCAGAAATGAGTGAATCTTTAATTAGTCTATTTATACAACCTGTGGTGGCTGAACACTCAGGGGGTCATTATGTGGCATGTTCTGGTTCCATCAAAGATGCATATTTGGATTTCCTCCATGATAGATATGAAGAGTTAATAAAGGATTCTAATGATACTGATAATAACTCTTAGCAATAAAAAACAGTAAAATAAAAGTAGTTTTATTTCTAAACTTCTGTCTGTACTGCACCACAATGTTATTAAACAAGAAAATGTTTGTGTACATTTTTTTTTATACTAGCTATTATAATAAAAAGACGTTAAGTTTATTTACATACATGTACTGTCCAATATAAGACGTATATAGAGTACATACACAATTAAACTTTACAGAAGTGACAATCCTACTTAATTTTTCTATTAATTCTTCTCTGTTTTCTATTCACCCGATCTAGCTTGGGGTTTATAGAAAATAACACATTTTTGAAGACTTCAAGAAACCCAGACGATTTAGTTAATAATATGTAGACAAAATTTAAAATTTATGTTTTCGATTGTATGGAGAGTTATCAAATATCAAAAGATTAACTTCAAAAAAATTTAAACAAAGTCTCAAATCGTTTTAATTCACCTTATGAGGCAATGGTATGATTTACGATTTTTATTTTATCATTCCTTCTATGCAAATTCTTGTTCTTAGGTTACCCCACAGGAGAGCCTGTGTGACACTCACAGAGTACATTTGTATCTAGTGATTACTTGCTCTGTGGTTAAAATTTAAATTGAGGTTATGTTTATAAATATTATTTATAATAATTTCTAACTTAGTAATATAAATCCATTACATAAAAAGTTAATGTTCTGTTAAAATGTGGCGTCGATATTTAATGTGGTTCGCACATGAACATGTCGATTTTCGTCATGCTGTAAGTCAAAATTATTTTTTCATAATAAATTTACAATTTAATAAACGTTCCTTACATTTTTTTTGCAAACTCTTTTACAGGAAATGCAAAGTATACTTACACTCTTCAATATACCTATTAAGTTTGTGGAGAAACCTTGTGTTCTGAAACCATATTGGATTGTCGAGTTACCTTCTGAGGAAATCGTGAAAAAGATCGCCTCTAGATCTGTTTTAATTAAAAACTGTATTGAATTGTGGGGTAGAGCTAAAACAGAGTCCCAGCTGCACGAGAACTTGAGAAGTGCGTTGAAAAATGATACAGGAGAATGGATAATGCAAAAATCATGTAATGCAGACGCGAGTGATAGACATATTTGTCCAAGCACGTTAATACAAGCATGTTGTTCTGCCGATAAGTCCTTTAAAGTGGAAGTCGAGACATTCTGCAAACATTTCTCCATGCAAGAGAAAATTGCTAAAATTGAGGTAGCTATGCTATTAACTTTGCTTTATCCTGACTCTTCTACACTAGTGAACAAACAATTTCTGCAATAATTATGACTTTTTCTCCTTCAAAATAGATCAAGGTTATATATCAATAGATCAAAATAAAAAACTGATTGAAAGAGTATACACAAGTGAAAAATAAGAAATGGAGAAATCAAGATATTTAGGTATTGTGCATACTTTCAGTGTTTTATTTTTAAAGGTGTGTGTTAAGTAGTCAGGTTCATTTATGTCTTATGTAACTGAACTCATCTATATAATATGAATAAGATAGAATATTTTGCTTAGTTAATATTCAAAATAAACTTTAATAGGATGAGAAAGTACTGATGGCAAATATTGTTCAATAGTTGCAGTATATATCATAACAATAATAAAATTCTATTTTTCTATTAAAATGATGGTGAAAGGCTGCCATTGGTATTTCAGTGTATTCTGTGTTGTCTATGGCATTGTTCACATCTGTAGCTGACCATTAACTCTTTCCATAATTCCTATTTGGACTGCCATCACTTTACCATAGCCATGTTACATAAAAATATTAATGATTATGAATAATATTGTCAGTCTTTCAGTTATTTACCATTAGAGGGTGCAGTGAAATTGAAAAATCCAGATGTTACATTGGCATACTTGGAGTTTTATGGTGTAGATCCTAACAATGTTCCTGAGAAGCCTTATGATTTGTTTTTTGGAAAATGGGTAAGATTCATTATGACTTATTATGTATATGCATATTATGAATCTATAATAAAATTATAATTAGATAATGGTTGTATACAAGAGGATCTAAATAAGAGCAATAGAAGAACAGTAATATTTAGAATTTTAACCTATTTGTATGTTCAATATGGCATTATATAAAAACCACTGCACCAAATTGAATCTGGTTTTCATACTTGGATTCCCAAAGGTTGAATTTAAAATCTAGTAATGATTTATTTCATACAAGTTAATGAGCAAAAGTTAGTCTAAAATATCTAGTCATGACTCTGTTTTATATATTAATGAAAATTTTTCATTTTTCCCAGGTGGCTGATGGACAAAGAGATCTTATTCAGGTTCACTCGCTGAAAAAACGCCAGTTTATTGGGAACACAAGCATGGATGCACAGCTATCTATTATCATGGCCAATCAGGCGCAAGTGAAAGCAGGGGACATGGTGCTGGACCCCTTTGTTGGTTCTGGCTCGTTATTAGTTGCTGCTGCACATTTTGGAGGTAACATTTCATATATGAAAATACATATAAAATATTTCTCTTAAAAGTTTTTGGAATTCCAAGAATTTATGTAATGGCCACTTACCATTACGTGGGCTATAAGCTTAATTGCAATCTTTGGTGTACATTATACAGGGCTGGGCAGTATTTGAATTACTTGTAATTCAATACAAATACATATTTGGTATTTGTATTTCAAGTACTTCCCAAAAATGTAATTAGAGATTACTAATCACCTGACGCAAAGGAATTTTCTAGGGATTGTTTTATGCAACTTAGAATGGCAAACAAGCTGACTGCCAACCTGATGGAAAGTGGTAACCGTCATTTATGTGACATGTGCAGTACCATGGACATAACAGAGGTATACTATTGCACCCACGATGTGAAGTATAGTGTTGTGCCAATGTGTTGTTCATCATATTCCATCCTTCACACCGAAACACAGCCATGCAAACACAACTGTTTCACAGTAGAAACACAAATGGGACAGCTGATGTTTATTTTGCAGAAATTAGCACTTGATAGCTTTTGTTTATACAATTTAACACAAGTTTGTGTTCATCAGAACCTGTAGAAAGATTGTATACTTTAACAGGTTTTATTCATTCTCCAATAAGAGACTGTTTGTCTCTTATTGGATACATTTAAAAATCTCATGTTCATGAAAGAAAATTTATCTTTTATTGATTAATAGGCCAGGCTAGATTAGTTCTGTTTTATTTACATTAAATAACTGTAATTTTTTTTATACCACAAAGGTGGCAAACAAGTATATAGACCTTCGCAATGATAAATGTTTACTGTAACATATGGACGCCTGTAACACTGGGGGTGTTGTATGTGCGCGTACACCCTTGTACACCCTTGTAAACCTTGTACACCCTTTTGAAAGACCCCATACTGTAGTTTTTATGGAAAATCTCGGCATCCCTGCCACATCATGCCACAGTCTAAGTGTTCGCGGGAGAAAATTCTTTTGAAACCGCACTGTACGTGACCACTAAGGTTCAGGCGTATGAGTGAATAAATTCCCTGTCGATGACGAGTAGTGCGATGATAAAAGGTGGCTGTGGGCATAATTTCAAATAATTCCCATATGTATATTAATGTACACTTTTAATTTGTATTCTAAATAAAAATAGTTAAAGTACTGTATTTTATATTAAAAAAAAAAAATACATCGCTTAAAAATATGTTTATTGATCGGGATTAAAAGTAGCCTGTAACCTTCTCCATCCAGCGATTAGTTAAACCGTTAAGGTGCTATATGATAACTCACTTTCAAATTTATAGTATTAGTAAGGAAGTAAAGATTCACATTTTTTTTGTTTCAGCGTATGTATTGGGGTCCGATATAGATTTTATGATGCTGCATGCCAGAACAAGGCCGACTCGCGTCGGGCAAAAGGTAACAATGTATGTATTACAAGGGTTAAGGTGATACATGTTAAATAAATGTGTGAGAAATAATGCCATAAAATGTGTGAGAAATAATGCCATAAAATGTGTGAGAAATAATGCCATAAAATGTGTGAAAAATAATGCCATATAATGTGTGAGAAATAATGCCATAAAATATGTGAGGAATAATGTCATAAAATACAGCCTATGTTGTCCGCTGATAATGTAGACTAGAGGGAGATTATTTACAAAATTCCTGCTTGTGTATTTTTCTTCTATTTAGTTTCTGCTGTGAAGCAGTTGTATTTACATGGCTGTGTTTCGATTTGAATGATATGGTAATAAAATTACAGGGTACAACATTTTAGTACACAAGTATAGAAACGCATAAAGGGTATCACGGATAACACAGTATACTCTGTTATGTCCGTAGTGCTGTTCATGACTATAGGCAATGGTTACTACTTTCCATCAGGTTCTCTGTAGGTAAAAGTCTTTAAGATTGGTTAAGTTTTTTTCTATGTATCAATTAAGTTGTAGTCTTCGGGAATGAGGGATGATAAGTAAGAATGAAGTTGGGTCAGTTCCAGGATAGGACCATGGGGATGTCAGTCTGAAAGGATATATTGTTATCTGTTATTAACCTCCCTCCCCCCCTGCATTATATATGACATGTAATCATTCATATATATAATATTATAGCAAGTGAAAGATTTTTTCTAATAAAGTAAAAAAAAATATTTTTATACAACTTAGAATGGCAAACAAGCTGACGGCCCACCTGATAGAAAGTGGTAACTGTCGCCTATAGACATGAGTAGTACCATGGACATAACAGAGTATACTGTTTCGCTCATGATACCCCCCATGCATTGCCATTTCTGAGGATTTGGGTGTTATTCCTCTGTACCCAGTAAATTCACGCCATATCCCACCCTTCAAACCGAAATACAGCCATGCAAATACAATTGCTTTACGGTTGAAACACGAATGGAGCAGAGGTACCCAAGCAAACGACTTTTGTATAAAGTCTCCTTTTGTTTATAGGTACGCAACAAAGATGAAAGTATACGCGCGAACATGAGACAATACGGCACAGAGTCGCGGTACGTGGACGTGGTCGTGAGCGACTTCTCGCTGCCCACCTGGCACGAGAGGCTCATGCTCGACGCCATCATTACGGATCGTGAGTTTGAATCCCTTATCATATATGTACCAAAAAATGTACAAAGTTATGTACATAAGTAAAGGCTCCCTACCCATGTCTCTGCCATGAAGTTGTATGGCTATTGAATGGGATACAACAGTGAAATTACAGGGTATAGAGGTATAACATTATACTATATCTATATATATATATATATACTTTTGTAGAATATGATTGAAAATATGTTTTTTTTTTTTAATATAGTTTTGTCTTTTATATATTTATATGACATTTTAAGTATTTTATTTTTATTTTATGTGTTTGCTTTTAATGAATTACTCAATCTGTGCACATAATGTAATTGGATTATAACCTAGCCGAATCACAAATGTAATTATTACTTAAGTTTTTTACTTAAGGTTGTGATCTGTTTTATGTGCCAATAAAATAAAATAAAATAAAATATCAGCCATTAACTGTCCACTGCTGAACATAGGCCTCCCCCCATTGGGGGGTTTGTCAGTATTTGCCATGCCTGGCAGACAACTGCAGTTAGGCTTTGATAGATAGATACTCTTTATTGTTTCCTCCAAAAGATTACTATAGTATACTTATTATAAATATAAACAAAAACAAAAAAAAAATAATCATAATGAAAAAACAATGGGTGACGTTATCACTAAAAGCAATCTGTTCTAGGCATTCTTTGGATGGAGAGGAGTAATTATAAACGGTTTGGTCGGAGGCACGATGAAATTTTATTATTTCTTTGATGTTTGAAGTTTAAAGAGGGACACTGCTGTCCACCCCTCAATCATTCACATCCCTTAGGCGCCTCTTACGACACTCACGAGAATGGTAGGGGGTGGCTCATTCTATTCCGGGAATACGGGGTGGCGGGGGGAAAGGGACTGTTAGTAATGGAGACTGAGAATCCCATTGCTAGCAATATACCCAACTAGGTCGACCTCCTCGCGGTTCCTCCTGGAAACTGTCATGATTAATTCCTGATGAATTCATCATGATGGGCTAACTGGCCTGTTTTCATTCTCATCTATCAACCTTCACTGGTGCTCCGCCAGCGTATCCCGTTAGCGAAGGCGGGGCTACCATACCGTTTTCACCCATCAAAAAAAAAAAATACAAGGTGGCAATCACATAACATCATTGTCCTTAGGAATGGCAACATCTGTAGTATGTCATGAATCCCTTCCCTTTTATGATTATGTATGTTCATGATGCTGTACATGTCTATAGGCGACAGTTACTACTTTCCAATAAGGTAGACCATCAGATCGTTCGCTGAGATTCATCACTTTGTTTAATTATAACGGTACATCCTTCTATATTTTTAATAATTTGGTACACTCAGTCAAACTAGGTGTCCCATCCTCACTACCTGATATTTTTTTTTTATACAACTTCGAATGGCAAACAAACTGACGGCCCACCTGATGGTAAGTGGTAACCGTCGCCTATAGACATGAGCAGTATCATGGACATAACAGAGTATACTGTTTCGCCCATGATACCCCCCATGCGTTGCCATTCATGAGGATTTAGGTTTTATTCCTCTGTACCCAGTAAATTCATGCCATATCCCACCCTTCAAACCGAAACACAGCTATGCAATCACAACTGCTTCACGGTTGAAACACGAATGGGACAGAGGTACCCTAGCAATCGACTTTTGTACAGTCTCCCTCTGGTACATGCGACGGGGCCATCCTTGTATTTTATATTGGATATAATGTAACAATACACATGTAAGACACCCTGAATGATTTATCATCATTATTTGCTTTGTGTGTGGCTTTATTGCACAGTTGTAACTGCAATGATGCATTAAAGTTCACTTATAAACAACACCACTTACAGTAATAGGATACTTATCACAGTGCGAGTTGTCTATGATCGTGGCCTCTCCTTCTTTTCTTTGTATAGGGCTAGAAGTGAGACGTTGGCTACCTTCATGACCTTAAATCTGACTCCGGGAATGTCACCAACAGCATGACCTTTACGACCAAATCCTGCAACTAGTACTTCACCATCCCGAGGAACGAAGGCAGTGACCTTCTTACCATTCTTGATTAGCTGCAACTACCAACTTTTTCCAGAAGATGCCCTTGGCGTGACCACCGAAGGGATTAGCCTTCCACCTCGTTCCCATGTGGGCCTTTTTATAACATATTTGTATGAATAACTGTAAAGTTATGCATTTATTGTCACAGCTAGAATTATATCTTAATTTATGGGATCATTTATAGCTGCTATAATAAATCGTGTTTTTATATATTTCAGCGCCATATGGAGTTCGGGAACCGACAGAGAAAATCGGGATAGAAAGAGAAAACTACACCTTGTCTGAGGAGCACCTAGTTAACCATATACCATCTAAAGTGGAGTACGGACTATCGCATATCTATAGGGACCTATTAAACTTTGCGGCGAAGCATTTGGTGTTGGGCAGGCGTCTAGTGTGCTGGTACCCATTAGTTAGGTATGCTGTTTTGAGCTTTGCTAATTTCATTTCTATAGAAATAATAAAAATTTGTCATTCCAAGTTAAACAGGAAGTTTTTAACAACTGATGTTTCACTCAGAGAGGAGTATCGTGAGGACCAGCTCCCGTGGCATCCGTGTCTCAAACTCGTCGCCAACTCTGAACAAGTCCTGTCCAAATTGACGTCCAGGAGACTTCTAACATATGAAAAGATTCATGACGAAGTGCCAGATGTACCAATTGATCACAATGGTGGAGTCCACAATTTTAGGTAACTTTAATTAATGGAGCTTAAGAAACTATCCATGACTATAACATGCAAGGAATTATCCCCTAACTCCTAGCTGTTAAGGCGTCACTTTCCATCATCAGCTTTAAATGATAATAGAAAGTTTGACCTACCTATATCCTATCCCTTCCATCATCATCTTAGCAGTTACATACTGTCAGAAGCGCGGGGGGAAAGGAATTGTTAGCAATGAAGTTTGACAGTCCCATTGCTAACAATATGCCCTATTAGGTCGACCTCCACGTGGTTCCCCCTGGAAACCATCGTGAACAATTCTTGTTGAATACATCACGATGGGCTAACTGACCTGCTTCGTCGTCACCTATCGTCCTTCACTGGTGCCCCGCCGGTGTATACCGATAGCGCAGGTGGGGTTAACATTCCATTATCACCATTAAAAAAAAAACTATCAGAAGCAAATATATGGACAAGTTAAAAAAAAACTAAACATGTATATATATTATATATGCCTATAAAATATGAGAGTTGCCCTCGACTTCCCTGGAATTTCATCATCAGATCGTGATTTGGTGACAATGGAACCACCACAGAATTATACTCCTTTGAATAAAAAAAAAAAAAATCGGTCCACAATTGACAGAGCAGTCTCTGGACATATTTAAAAAATATAGTTTAACATAGAACTTCCTTTTTTAAATCGATTAAAAAGATGCTATCGTTCTTAATATAAACTATGCATGTTTTAGGGAGAAATATTTTTGCATGGGCGAGCAGACGAGGCGAGAAAGAAAGGAAAAGCGCGCTGAGGAGATGGCCACAAATGCTGCAAACAGGGCTCTCACAGTCAACATTACATGACGTTACATTGTGTAAAATATAGTCATATTAGACATACAATTACCTAGTTTTATTCATAAAACGCCGTGTAGGTCCCGGCATAGGATAAGCTACCCCCTTCCTTTCACGTGGGTATCATGTGAGGCGACTAAAACAGCTTATGGTGGAGGGATGGACTGCAGAGTTTCTCTTAAAACATAGCAAAAACTACACTGCGGTTGCCAACCCGCCTGCCAAGCGTGGCAACTAGTGACAAAACCCTCATGGACGAGGCTATGTTCAGTGGATAATTAATAAATGATAAGTCAATAATATGCAACTTTAACAATAATAAAATTTGTTAGATTTTTTCTACCCAAATAAAAGTCCTCCTTGACCATTTCTATAATAATTCTAAAGTGATATAAGGATAAAGTCACAATGGTAAAAACATATATTGGTATGGTATAAACATATAACATCTGAGTACAGAGGAATAATACCTGAGTCCTCAGGAATGGCAACGCATGGGGGGTATCATGGGCGAAACAGTATGTGTGTGAACTGTTATGTCCATGATACTGCTCATGTCTATAGGCGACGGTTACCACTTACCATCAGGTGGGCCGTCAGCTTGTTTGCTATTCTAAGTTGTATTAAAAAAAATATATTTGTGGTAATCATAATTTAATAACGTGTCCGTGTGAATTATAGTTTGTAACAATAAACATTTCAAAGTATTCCTTTATATAACTTTTACATAAAATTAAAGAATTAACTAGAATAAAATGCATTTTATACATAACTAATTAGGGCAGTGTTCAGTATTTGTAACAAATTATAAATACAACCTGCAAATGGTCTGAGTTTCTGAGAACATCAGATCACAGTATTGAAGATACAGAAAAATAAGAACATCGAGAAAGTAACTCTTGAATAATAGATTACGCAAAGACTACATTTCGTCTACATTTATTACGCCAGATACTTATGGGATTTACGCAAACCGATTGCCCAATACCTTTATCCTTACATACATTTCTAGCTGTCTATAATAATAATTTTTTTTATTTATTTTTATACATTGATGTATTATAATTAAACTTGATAGTTATTCACAAAGTGTCCGAGCAATTTATATTAATAATTACAATTCCTTCAAATACAGGCTGAATTTTGGAAGAATTCTAATTGATAGACACTAATTAGTTTGTTGAATAAAATTATTTGGTTTAGTTTCGTTACTATTAGTATGGGTACGATTGCCAACGTTTCAGAATTGACTTTCTCGATTGATTGATTGAGAGTGTTTTGTTAACTTGGATAATTTAAAAATTTATTCGTTTATTTTAAAATAATTAATGTTCTTTTTAATTATCGATTAAATATATTTAAAAGATGAACCCTACTGTCAATCCTACAACTACTTTTAGTAGAGATTCTATGATCTTCCTAGGCTGAATACACACTGTAAAACTGTACACACACGGTTTTTTAAGTAATAATATTTTACCAGACCGAGAACAAACCTAACAAACCTGAAATTGATTTTTTTTTATATAGTTTTATTTTTTATATATTTATATCTTTTAATGAATTACTCAAGCTGTGCACATAATGTGATTGGATTATAACCTAGCCGAATCACAAATGTAACTATTATTTAAGTTTTTTATGGTTGTGATCTGTTTTATGTGCCAATAAAATAAAAAAAAAACCGTGGATCAGTGGAATTACTCTTGAAATAAATTCCAATAAATCGATATTGGAATTGAGACGTTTAACAGTACTCTCGAATAGCAACACTAGCGACATAATGGTTCCATATTGTTCTGATAGATGCATATTAGTGTAACTTGCCAATGCAAACTATTGTAAACCGATCCCAATTATAATGTAATTCCTAACTATTGTTTCATGAGTGTAGTAGAAAACTGTTATTGGCAATAGATTTGTACAATTAATCGCCTGATAATGTCTCGTTTAGAGGTGAAACGCGTTTCGCAACATGTGTGTAGACTGAATAACGGTCGGAGATTCATGAATCAATAAGCAAGGTAGTAGTCTTTACTACTCAATCTCTTAATGTCGACAGTTGTACGCACACTAATGATAATGGAATTATATTAATTAATTAACCAGTGATATGAATTTCCGCTAAATTTATTTCTTTCAATAAAATGTTTTTTTTTTGTTTTTACAACACAGGGGGCATACGAGCAAGCGGCTCACCTGATGGTAAGTGACTACCGCCGCCCATGATCACCCACAACACCAGCGGCATTGCAGGTGTGCTGCCGGCCTTTTAAAAAGGAATATACTCTTTTCTTGAAGGTTATGTTGTCGTATCGGTTCGGAAATACTGCTGCTGGAAGTTGATTCCAAAGAATGGTTGTGCGTGGAAGAAAGTGCCTTGAAAAACGCACGGTGGAAGACCGCCACTCGTCCAGATGATTGGGATGAAACTTTAGTTTGTGGCGGGCTGTACGGTGGTGAAAATCAGCAGCAGGTATCAATCCGAACAATGTACCGTCATAGACAAATTTCGCACACTAAAGTATCTTAGACGAGCAGTAATGGCTAGGGCACTTGTGATTAGCCTGTCTAATTATTGTACGTCAATGGTATTATAGAATTATTCTGTGATAGCGAGCGCCAGCATCATCTGTGAGAGGCCGGGCGCAGCTGGCGCGGCGCGGGCCGCCTGCTGCCGCTTGGTGGCCTGCGACTGCGCCCACTGGCACAGCTTCCACACCTCCTTGCGTTTCGAGCTGTTGCCCGACGACTTGTAGTGGTTCAACAGGTTGTTTGTTGTCTAGAATTCAAGATGTGTATAAGTTTGTTTTATAAGGTTCCATACTGTTCTGATAGATGCATATTGGTGTAACTTGCCAATGCAAACTATTGTAAAGCGATCCTAATTGTAGATAATTCCTAACTGTTGTTGCATGAGTGCAGTATTAAATTGTCATTAGCAATAGATTTGGATTGAGATCGATGTTGGATTCAAGAGTTATCCTACTGTTTGTTTGTTTGTTTGTTTGTTTGTTTGTTTATTGATTATTATTATAATTTAATTGCTTTCTATTTGTATACAATTATTATTTTCTTTTGTTTGTTTTGTTTTGATTTCTTTTGTTCTTGTTTTGTGCGCTACTGTGTGGGCCGCATGCTTCTTCGATTAAATTATTTCTTTCTTTCTTTTAACCCGACCATAATTTGTACTAATTGTTGGACATCAGTTTGCTGATGTCCAACAATTAGTACAAATTAAAAATGATTAATAGAATGTTCCATCGTAATAGATTTGTTAGTAATTTCATTTATAGAGTATTTCTATGATAAAAATGGTTACCTTTTTACTAATTTCTATTGGAACGGACTATAGTTGTGTTATGATTTACCATACATCATTTATGCTAATGTACTCATTTTAACAACCGTGTAGTCCCAAACTAAAGTGGGCGGTGCTCCTTCTTTTTCCGTGATTGCTTTAAGCGAATAAGGGAACTTAGTGGTCGAAAAATGAACAGCAACGTCTCTTTTAAAACGTCACTAAAACCTAATTGCAGTTGTCAACCCGCCAGCCAAGAGTGGCAACTATTGTAAAATCCAATGGACAGTTAACGGCTGAAATGATGATGATCCGTGAATGATGTCCCGTGTGGTCCCGGCATAGAATAGGCTACTTTCTTTCCCGTGGGTGTCGTAAGAGGCGACTAAGGGAAGGCAAGTGATGGGAAGCAGCGTCCCTCTTAAAACATCTCCAAAGCCTAATTGCGGTTGCCAAGCGTGGCAACTACTAGCAAAACTCCCTTAGGGAAGGCCTATGTTCACTTATGGACAATTAAAAGTTGATATATATGATGATGATGACGACTAATTTTAAGAAGCGCAGAGCTAATTTTGCGCAGAGGGAGACTTTGTACAAAAGTCAATTGCTTGGCTACCTCTGTCCCATTCGTGTTTGTACCGTGAAGCAGTTGTTTGCATGGCCGTGTTTCAGTTTGAAGGGTGGGATATGGCGTGAATTTACTGGGTACAGAGGAATAAAACCTGAGCCCTCAGGAATGGCAACGCATGGGGGGTATCATGGGCGAAACAGTATACTCTGTTATGTCCATGGTACTGCTCATGTCTATAGGTGACGGTTACCACTTTCCGTCGGGTGGGTCGTCAGTTTGTTTGCCATTCTAAGTTGTATAAAAAAAATCTGACAATGCTGTATAAGATGTATACATGACCTCATAAAGGTATAAAAGTGTTAGATATCTCGTCTTGTAGGTAGTTATGCAAACAAGAAAATGAATTTCTTACCAAGAATAGACCAAGCAGAGCTCTCATGTTGTCAGGATTGAGTTTCAACGCTTGACAGTAATAAGATTTCGCCAATTCCATATTTTCAATGCCTCCCTGTAATAATTAATTTTATTTGTCACGATAACTGAAATTATCAAAATTGGAGTTGTAAAATAGTTGGATCGTTTGAAACACGTGCATGTCGGGGGGAAAGGGATTGTTAGTAATGGAGACTGAGAATCCCATTGCTAGCAATATACTCAACCAGATCGACCTCCTCGCGGTTCCCCCTGGAAACTATCATGGTTAATTGCTGATGAATTCATCATGATGGGCTAACTGACCTGTTTTCATTCTCATCTATCACCCTTTACTGGTACTCCGCCAGCGTATCCCGTTAGCGCAGGCGGGGTTACCATACCATTTTCACGCAAAAAAAAAAAAAACATGTGCATGTCTTCGTATTGGCTATTAATACATATGTTTGGTCTTGGAAAACTTGTTAAATACCAGAGGCTACTACCAGTGTGGTTACAGGGACTAATTCAATATCAATAGAAGCGCCCAGTAACTACGTGCGAACACGTCGACGGCACTTATTCGATGTTCCATTACGAAGAACAGAGTTCGCTAAGCAGGCTCCTTTATCTCTTGCATTGAAACTGCTCAATGATATTTTGAGCCAGTATCCGCAATTGGATGTATTTGCCTCCAACTTGCTGGAGTTTCGTCGAGTGACCACAGAGTATTTGTGTCCAGACGATTTTTGTTTCAGTTAAATCTTTTTATATTATTTTTTGTTTAATATTTTTGTGTGATATTCCTTTTTATATGTTATTGTACTCATGCTTTCCTGGGTGAGCGTATTGGAAGACTGTAAGGCTCACCCAGTGGATGTAATAAATAAATAAATACTAAATTGTATTGAATATTTTTTATAAGTAACAAGAAGATATCATAAAACAATCATCATCATCATCATATCTGTCACGCCTCTCTCCCATTAGGGTGGATTCAAACAAACCTCTTTCGCTTCTTCCACATTCATCAAATAAATAAATACTAAATTTGTGTTGAATCCATTTTTTTATAAATCTCTTTCGTAATTCTTCTTTCATCCATCCTCTCCAAATGACTAACCAACGCAACATTCCTTTTTCGATTTTTGTCACTACATCGTCTTTCAGTCCACACTTCTCTCTAATCACACTGTTTCTTACTCTTAACATAAAACAACTTTACAATAAAACAGAAAAAGTATGAAGCAACAAAATAACCAAAAATAATTGTCCAAAATCCAAATAATCTAACCGTTCCAGAGAAGCTGCTACTATTGCTACGTACCATTGTATACCGTATGTCGGCGAGCCGCTGATGCATGAGGTGGTTGTGCGGCTGGTGGAGGATCAGCTCCTCGGCGCAGTACGCGGCGCGCGAGTAGTCCTGCATCTGTAGGTACAACTCGCACAGCTCCTGCCACGCCTCCACGTCTGATATGAACCTAAATATTACAAATATATTATATTTTGTTTATGAAAACTTTTTTTTTTACACCACATGACATTTTGTTTCTTTGTTCACCACATCCAAGCAACATTACACACACAAATAACTTTTACATTAATTATTATTATTTTTTTTTGATGTGTGAAAATTGAATGGTAACCCCGCCTGTGCTAGAGGAATACGCTGGCGGAGCACCAGTGAAGGGTGATAGATAAGAATGAAAACAGGCCAGTTAGCCCATCATGATGAATTCATCACGAATTAACCATGATAGTTTCCAGGGGTAACAGCGTGGAGGTAGACCTGGTTGGGTATATTGCTAGCAATGGGATTCTTAGTCTCCATTACTGACAATCTCTTTCCCCCCACATTAATTATTGCTGAACTTCCAGTGATGCGATGTTTCAAATAAGTATCTCCGTAGATTTTTTGTTTTCTATTTAATTTAACCTAGGGTAGGTTAAATTAAATAGAAATAAAAAAATTAAGTATAATATTGTTTGGTATACAAATTGGGAATCTGTAATTAGCTAATGTATGGTGTAAATATATTTTTAATTATTCTAGATATAAGCTGTTGATTACAGATGTAATAATAAAATAAAATAAAAAATAAAACATACAAATTAGTGGTAGAAATGTAAACGTTTGTAAAGATGTTTGCATGTTTGTTACTCAATTTATTATTATTTTTTCTAAGGAATTTCGCGACTGACTCTTGGCCACAACAGAATAACAGTGTTTTGCTCTTTTAAGGGCAAAGCAATAAACTGAGTTTTGACCATTTTGTTACTAGGGTTATTTACTGGGCCGATTTCGGTTAACCAAAAACTGATTTTTTTCCCGGTTTGATGCACGTATAATAATAAACATGAAGGGCGGCCATACAGACTGGCACGCAGGCGGCCCTGCACACGCATGAAGGAAAGGAAAGAAAGGAAATTGTTGAAAAGTGAGGATGAAGGAAGGTCAGTTGGCCTATAGTTCAAGAACTAATGTAACAAGAATTAATCACTATGGTTTTCAGGGGGAACCGCGTAGAGGTCGACCTGATAGGGTGTATTGCTAGCAATGGGGCTATTAAATCTCATTACTAACAATCCCTCCCCTCCCCTCCGCATAGTGTTTAAAGTCGCGTATACTTGCATAGACCAATTGTGCATTCTGCAATGTGATTTTGTGAAGTATTTCCAAGAAATTGTAGTACACCAAGGCATGTATGTCAATTTATATCTTTGCTGCGATGAAAAATTAAATATCCTGTATTTTTAATCTGTTACTTACTTCTTTTAGGTAAGATAGAAGGAAGAAGGGGGAGAGAGAGACCGAGACATAGTTACATCAGGCAGATCAAGGAAGGAGTTGGTGTCGTGTCGTATCAAGAGGTGAAGAGACTCGCTGAAAATCGTAGTGAGTGGCAAGAGCTCCACAGATAAGAGCTGCCATAGATAGACTTACTTCTTTAGATAGTCAACTAAATCTTCAATGGCCTGTTTAATTTCCCCTCGAGCTTTGCGTATGGCTATCATCCTTTTGTACACGGCCGAGTTTGTTTCATCTGCTCTAACAATTTTGTCAAGAAGCATGACAGCTTCTGTATACCTGGAAATCAATATTATGTCGTATAAAGATGTTTTTCTAGTGATAGTGAACATATATATATTTTTTTTTACAACTTAGAATGGCAAACAAGCTGACGGCCCACCTGATGGAAAGTGGTAACCGTCGCCTATAGACATGAGCAGTACCATGGACATAACAGAGTTTACTGTTTCGCCCATGATACCCCCCATGCGTTGCCATTCCTGAGGACTCGGGTGTTTTTCCTCTGTGCCCAGTAAATTCACGCCATATCCCACTCTTCAAACCGAAACACAGCCATGCAAACACAACTGCTTTACGGTTGAAACATGAATGGGACAGAGGTACCCAAGCAATGCTTGCTTGGGTACCTCTTGTCAAGCTTGGGTACCTCTGTGTAGTTAAAATGGTACAGTCTCAGAAGTTAGATCAATTAAAAGAGGAGTATCCCTTTACCAGAGGGAGACTTTTGTACAAAGTTTCCCTCTGGTAAAGAGATGAATATATCCTCCCTCTGATTAATACATCGTAAATAATACTATAAAGGAATTTAATAGTAGGGGAATGGGTAGCAGTGCCCCTGTTAAAATTTCTCTAAAAGCCTAACTGCGGTTGCTATTCTGCCTGCCAAGTGTGGCAACTACTGGCAATACTCCCCTTATAACACAGGGGGCAATCGAGCATGCGACTCGTGGTAAGTGACTACCGCCGCCCATGATCACCTATACTTTATAAATTGTATGTTTTTATAAACATTAAATTGTTATCGCAACATGGAGTATAAAAAAAATAAGTGTATTTTAAAAATTAATAACAATAAACTAACTTCTCTTCAGCCTCAAGCCGTGCGGCCTGGTAACGCTTGACTCGCAAACTTCCCGGAAACTCATTTGATAGAATAGCAATACAGTTGTTGGCAACACTGTAACAGTGACAGTCCAAAGCTGCAAATATCACCTGCTCCAGTAGTACATGCTCTGAAAGACATTCATTAATGTTATTATAAAATTGTAGCTTTTTAATCTTTTCAATGGGATGAAAATTGATTAGCAACCCTTTCTCTACTATCAATAGACACTAGCTGCTAATAGAGATAATTATAGATTTATTTTATTTGTTTATTTAACTCTTTATTGCACCATAAACAAAAATATACAATGACAATTGAACAATGAAGTTATGTTAATTACCCATTTTGAGAGTTTCATCAGGAATTAATCACAGTTTTAGGCAGGGCCTAAAAGATCATATCTATCTATCAAGATCTACCTGATAGACTGTGATGACCCTATAGCAACATTGTATAAGTCAACAACTAATAGACCATATTGCTAGCAATAGAGTTATTATAAACAGTCCCTTTCTCCCTAGCTTTTTATAGGTAAAAACTGAACACCTACAGTTTTTATGTAGCTTGAACCATATACAATTAAATTTCATCTCATGTTTAATGTAAATAAAGAATCTGAATCTGAATTATCATGCACATCTGTTTGTGCATATGGCACAGCACTATAACCTTTGTAGTTCTATATAGCTGGTTATGAAATTGTTTAGAAAAAAACAAATGTCCTAAATATATCATACAGCAATCTCTAGTCCAAATTAAGTATAGCTTACACTATAAGGTACTAATCAGTTGAAAGACATATCTTTTTTTTTAAATGCATATATAGTAAATGCAAACAAATTATACAAAAATACATAGAAGTCTTTATATCATATGGGCAGCAAACACCAACCATTGAAAAGTAAGGCATGTATTAAACTGCTACACCACCAAAGATGAATGAGATCTTCTTAAATCAGAGTATATGGCATTTTGTTATTTTGGTCTTAGCCCAATTCAATTTAATATACTCAATACTTATATGGGTCTGTCTGAAAAGTTACAAACTTACTCAGATCTCTTTGTAAAATCAGCAGCTATTAATAGAATGATAATTAAGCAGAATTGTGGTACATATTTCGGGAAGAGTACTATAAAATACTGAATAAACAAAATATACCATTAAATTAATTTATAAAATGTTTTCTTACTACAAATATCACAGTGTTTATTAAGGTGATGAAATTTAAGATATCAATAGTATTTAGCATGGAGAAGAAAACAGGATACTTTGTATTCCAATCACATATATAAAGTTGCTAGTACATTTAGTGGAAATATAAATCTTAATTTCACTTCCTTTGTGGCCAATTTTACACTAACATCATTTATGATTAATATTACAAGTAGAACAATCTACTTATAATAATAAATGGAATACATACTTTCATTGCCAATTTTATCCAAGCCATCACTCAGTATTGTGAGCCACAGTTCCACTACTTCTTCGCTTCGTCTCTCATTGCTTTCACGCCATTGTCGCAATAAATCTCGAGCTTCTAAACAATAAATAAATCAATTTACACAAGTAAGTTATTACAATTTTCCCTGGGATGATTAGATCCGTATTAGTAATAAATAAATTAGTTACGAGTAAAATTTTGTAAGATAGTAAATTAAAGCTGAAACCAGAATATCAATTCGTTGAAACAATTTAATAATTTTATTTTAATTTTAATTAAAACTAAAGAATATCCAATATAATACAAACCATCAAAACTAAGTTCTTCGTAATTGTAAGACATTGTCTTAAATTCAAAAAAATTTTAAGGCAATAAGTATAAAATAAAAACAATCCTCTTCAAATATGAATACAATTAAACAACGATAATAATAAGGAACAAGTTAACTAAAATTAGAATTTATAGTTTTTTAATAATTATATTAGGTACCAATTTTATTCAATGACAACAATGAAATGACAAATGATAACGACAGTTGACACTAATAGTTGCAGGTGACAAACACAGAGAACTTATTACTGTGACTTCTACCTTTAAATAATACTTTCTTTGACCCTTTTGATCGTTCACAAAATTCTTAAAATTTTATTTTAAATTATAAGTAGCACCACCATCTTTCGGCAGAGAGTAAAGTACGATAATCAAAATACCTCCTATAAAATAAATATGTATGTTTTAGAAATCTCTGATCATAAACCTACATGTAATGGACGCAGGACAAATAAGCATAGAATTGCCTATGAAAGAAAGAAAAAAAAAATATTTGCCGCATAATAATAATAACAATTACAAACTAAAACATAAACAATCATCAACTTAAAGAAAAAGGAAATACAAAATAAGCTTACACCTAAATAGAAATTATACAACTAAATGGTCACCACTCAGGTAAGTGTTTAGGCATTCATACATAACGCCGATCCGATTTTTCACTGCAGTCTACACAGTGTGTCCGAAGATAGACTTATCTCGTATAGTATATGCCTTGTTGGCTTGCTTTTGTAGAGGTTTTTTCATCCCTCAGCATTGTCGTTTATAAACTTTTTAGTATACCTTTCAAAGTCTTCCATTTTTTTTTGCTTTTTTCCTCACATACTTCTCAAGGGCAAAATATAAACGACCAGTGTGTGGCATTTTGTTTAATGGCAAGTCGCAAAAATCTCCTGAATTAGCCCATTTTAATCGCGAATAAACAATATGACCAACACTAAAATATACAAATAAAAAATTGTAAAAAAAATGTAAAATAAGACATAGTTTTTTAAGTTTAATCGCGATAAACAAAATGAAAATAAAATTACAAATAAAAAATTGTAAAAAAAATGTAAAATATAATTTGATAGCGGAAAATTTTATATATTACTTATATATTTTTATTACTTATTACTATTTGTCATTATTATATTACATGACAAATACCTCAATCAAACAACCATACCAAGTTTCGCATCATATACTTTTCATGAAGGACAAAGGGCCTCGCAAAGCCCGGAGCCTCGCAATGGGTAAGGCTGCCGCTGCGTATACCAATATAGGTCATTCTCCTTTAGACATGGCGGATTATGTTCCCGTGTTCGTAGCAGCATAGCGAAAGCTACCACGAAACACAGCCGTACTGTATTGCGGAAAAAATATGCATGGTGTGGTTCTTGATCTTCGTTAAGTAATTTGCAATTTATTAAATAGGTACGTTGACTGTTTTTTATATATAATTTCGAAAAGTTGTAAAGCCAGATGCAGTGTTCGTGGTGTGGTCATATTTAACATCTTATTACGATTCCAAAATGAATACTCAGGAACTGGAAAACAAAAGCGGGCACATGAACATTGAATATGCTGAACAATTTTTTTTGCACGGGTTAATAGACAGTCTCCAATAACAGAATCAGTATAATTAAGCTTTAATAGGATAAGCGATTCACATAATTTAATACGCATATCAGCACTCAAATAGTCATGGATACGATACACGACACTGAGTCTATAAAAGCAGTTGCGCATAATTCGTATTATATATTCCTCAAAAAGAAAAGAAAAGCGTATATGAAAAGATTGATGAATGTGGAAGAAGCGAAAGAGGTTTGTTTGAATCAAAGCATTTGGCGTTTCATTGTTTCTGCCTACCCTAATGGGAGACAGGCGTGACAGATATGTATTTATGTATGTATTCCTCAAAACTTAGTTTTTGGTCCATAATAACACCTATGTTGCGAGCTTGTGATACAACGATTTCCATTTGAACGGTTTGAATAAAGTATATAATTGAAAGTCCTTTGCATATATGTATATGGTAACTACAGTTTATATTTTTAATAATGTCAGCAGTAAAGTATGAATAACATCGGTCCTAAAATCGAACCCTGTGGTACTCTCCTTTTAATTGATCCAACCTCTGAGACTGTACCATTTTCATTTTTAATTTCTATAAATTGTGTACGACCAGATAAATAACTAGTAAACCATTGCAAAGCATTTGAATCAAAACCATAGAATGCAAGTTTAGATAAAAGAAGCTCTGTATTAATAGTGTCGAAAGCATGTGAAAAATTTAGCAAAACCAGTAATGTCTTTTCTTGATATCCTGTTCTGTCAGAATATCATCTATTACATCTAATATCGCTGTAATAGTACTTCGAGATTTTCTGAAGCCAGATTGTTTAGATTAGCCATATTGTGTGACGCAAATAAATAATTAGAACATGGGCCATATTTTGTTTTATTTTTTTACTTATTTACTCGTTAATAAAATAAATTACTATCCTTAATCTATGGAAATAAATTAATTTATGGTGTAACTTTCTGGTACACATTTTAATTTCGAGTCACGCATAAATCATTGTACTTAGTATAGAAACGACAAATACGTACATAAAAAAATATACAGGCATCAGGCACCGTGCCACGAAGCTGAATACATGCGTTTAAATGCGTATACAGGAATAGAAAGTTTTGTGTGTGTTGAACACAGAACACTATGTGTTGAACAAGACGTCTACAATATGTCTGACTATTTGGAAATATTTTTAGATATAGCATAGTCGTAAATAATTAAAGACCTATATTAGAATTACAGATGCCATGGACTATACATGACAAATAACATTAGAGGGTAAGATTGTATTTCTATATTACTGTAAAATAAATTATTCTTTCTTCTACTGTATATTGCTGGACTTTATGTCTCAATGGCCTTTATCTCGGGGTTTTGTTTTCTTTTGTCCTCTGTTCTTATGTCGTACTAATTTGTGTCATACAATGTCTTGAATTTTACGTTGTATATTTATGTAGTCTTATTTTGTCTGACAGATCGATAAGGAGACGACTTACAACGAAGATATATGTTGTGAGTTTTATGGGAGCCTTACGTGTGAATAGTGAATATGCGCGTCACGGACATTGTGTATAGTGCTGGCTCTGAGTGAATGCTCGTGGTGTCACGATACGTTATTGATATTCCTGGCGGCAGTGATACCCGTAGCGCCACGGGCTATATTTACGTCATTGTTTGATACATAAAGTATTAAAATGGATCATCTCGTGCAGTGCCCTGTCTGCACACTTTATCTACATAATGGGATAACGTTGGAGTCCCATTTAGACACACATCCCAAAGATCAAGTCATAAAGGCATTGTGTAATCTTACATCAAAGGGTAATAATTATGGTAGCCGTACACCCACACCATTTCAATCTGAACGGTCATACAGAAGCAGATCTCGGACACCAGCAACAGAGGATAGGTGGAACAGTTCACATCGCAGTACAGACCAGGACAGGTACTGGCACAGGACACTCAGTAGAACACCAAGATCATCTTCAATAACAGGTGCATCTAGAAATGGCACACCTGATATTAGAATTGGAGATATTAACTTTGAAAATAATACAGTAAATAGTAATAGCAGTCCTTTTGTGATGAAATCTGATAAAATGCAGCAAACCTATCAGACTCCAACAATATCTGATTTTGATCAGCAATATGTGTACTACTCAGATCATCCAGAGGACAGAGAGGTGAAGTACTCTAGGACTGCAGAGTACAATGCTCTAGATAATACTAACAGTGTTTTTGCGTATAATATGCCACCTTTAGGATCAGGTGTAAAATTACAAACCACTTTGCTACCTCCAGTTTCCAGAAGAGGAAATGATAGCCTTGTTAAACTATTGCCAAAATCAAACAATATACTTGTCAAAACAAACGTAGGTGGGGTACAATACATAGCGCCCGGCATGAAACCTATGCATGTCATGGTGCCCACACCACCTAATTTTGTTCAGAAAAATGCCCAAAATAATATGGTAATGAATAATGCCATACCAGCAAGCCAAGTTCTCGAGTCTAAAACTGGGGCTCCTCCTATAGCTAATAATCAATTCAACCAAATGACAACCAGCTCCTTTACACCGAGTACCACTGTAGTTACACAAAATTCTCAGATAATTTATCGGGAAATGCTTCACAATATTGATGGGAAGCCATTTATTTCAAGTGTTCCTGCTGTTTTAAGTAGCCATGAAAATGTTACTAATGTAGCTCAGGCTACATCTATGTACCAAAATGTGATGGTCGTTGATCAATTTGGGAATACATCATGTATGTACAGTACTCCGCAACAAATTTTACCGAAAACTTGTAGCACCTCAGCTTACAATGATAGTACCTCCCATTTACCTGCAACTCATATGAATAAATCTATTACTAATCTTGATTCTAGTAAAACATTAATCATAGAGGTGGGCCCAATAGTCCCCGCATCAACTGTGAATGAAAGTGTATCAAGTGTGACACAATCTACTCAATCTGAGGTAACTGTACCAGTACCACAGACTAGTAAGCCGGAACAACCTGAAAAGACTGAATCAAAAACAGAGTCACCAGGGTCTAGTAAAGGACTTAAAATCTTGAGCAATATAAAAGTAGAGGTGCCAGTACAACATCACAAGAACATGGTAAATACTGTGATGGATTTAACTGGAACTAATGATCCAGAGTCCGAGTATCTAGAGTCCCCTACTACTCCTGAAAAAATCTTACCTGACCTAGAAGATAATAAACAGGTAACTTCAGATGAATGTATGCAGTCTTCTATAACAAATGGTGAAGGTTTGGTTTCTTCACACACATTTTCTGTAATAAAAAATGTTGGCAACCCTCCCTCATATAAAGATGCAACAAGCAAGTCAAGTGTAACTGACAACAAAATGGACACAGAATTTCCAGACAGTTGTCCTGTTCCAGATTTGATATGTAATGAAAAGCCTTCAGTGTCACCTTGCAGTGAACTGTCCGAGCAGGGGGAGAACTCAACTGATCGCACCTCAATATCACCCAAGCCTCACAATAGCCAAAGCTGTACAACCACTATAGAAAGTAATAATATTAGTAAATCACCATTGAAATTACAACAAAAACCACACAGAAACAATACATTAAGACTGAACAATATTTATGTGAAAAAGCACAAGAAGATTTTACAGATTAAGAATGCTAAGTCCTTTCCTGTAAATAAAAGTACATCATTTCGAATTGAAGAGCCCGTACCATCCTCTTCCACTGGTAAATCACCAGAGAATTATACGATGAACAAAACTCATCATTCAGATAAAAGTAGCATTAAAGAAAATAATAGTACATTAGAAACTGTATCTGTAGAACAGATTATAGATCACAATGACCAGAATGAGAATGGCTTTGATGCCGATACTGAAGAGCAGTCTATGGACATCGAACCTGTAGCGCCATCTAGCATAAATCATTCTGATCAGTTTACAACATCTATAGAAGTGAAAGAAGAAATTAACACTAGCACAGAAGACACATTTAGCAATGAGAATAATACATCTAATCGTGAACTAACGTCGCTCGAGAGTTTGCGGCCCATTAACGTGATAACATATGGCAACATGGCGCCAGGTGATTTTGATGATGAATCCAATCATAGGGAACTCTTAGAACTCGAAGCTTCATCTAAAAACAAGCAGTTCGTCAATATGATGACTGATAATTATTTTGGTGACAATATTTATGCAGATTACTTCACAGCAGACCGTGTGGGAGCTTTTGATTCAGAGAGGGGTGAGCAATCCTTTGTGAAAGATGGCCCTAAAGATGGTATATATATTTGGGGGGAACCATCTCAGAAGGACAATGAGTTTGTATTGCCAAATTTTATACATGAAAGCTATAAGATAGCTGAGAGTAATGGTATAGATTATTCAGATATAGATAGAGAAGGGAATATGGATGGAGAAGCTGATGTGTGTGACCGAGATAGTAAAGCTGATGTTCTGAGTGAGAGTCAGAGTATAGGGGAACCGCCGTTGAACATCCGCGCAGACGAACGAATGCCACCCCGGGGGGAGATCAGTGGACAGGAGAGCAATGGAGACATGGAATCAACATGGAGTGGTGTAAGTATTTTTTGTGTTTATTTATATAATTACATATAATCTATGGGCCATCAGGTGGGCCGTCAACTTGTTTGCCATTCTAAGTTGTGTTTAAAAAATATATAAAGACCTAGTATATAAAAAATAAATAAAATAGTATCTAGCTATACAAAAAAACTTACAATATTAAGATTGAGAAGATAGGCTTATAATAGATAGATAGATAATTTATTTACATTACTTATAGCACACAAATAACAATGCAAACTTACACATAATACACAGTAAAAGAGATAAAAGAATGAAAAACAAAAAAACAACAAAGAAAAAAAAAAAAAAAAAACAAAATATATAAAAAAACAATTTCCTTTTTTTTCATGCGTGTACCATAGTAGACAAAGTAAATTATTTTTCTCTTGGTTGTAAAAAAAAAAACCGAATGTAGGGTAAATTTATCTTCCTTCTCACTGCTTATTTATTTTCATTATATTATAACATATAAAAGTTGTATGAAGCTATAGATCATTTATAACTGGCCGTGGCATGATTTTCTTGTTGTAAAATAAGTACGTAAAGAAAAACATATAAAATTGTTTTTTTTTTCGTTCCTAATAACGTCACTTCATTCACTTCTACGATGCGACATTGGAATACTGCCTTCGTGACGATAATATCATTCTGTGCTACCATTGTTTATAAGTATTTAAACATACTGAAATAACTTGTAGAATGAACATTCATATCGCTTGGTACAATCGTTTAATTAGTACTGAGTTTAATCTATGTGCTGGACCTGAGAAAACTTTTAAGGCGTCACTCGGCGATTGAAAAAAAAAAGTCATATGGAGATTGGGAGTATCGATAGGGACAGTTTCTCTTGATGGCTCAGTCCTGATGTTTGTTGATTATTTTAAAGTTATGTGGCTCCTCTTGGACCTCAGCGCTAGACGCCACTAGAACGCACCATCCCTAAAGTTGGTACTGACCCTAATCAAATCAAATTATATTTATTCGCTTGCTACATGGTACAATAAGTTATATACATATACAGGTACATAACATGCAGCACCCCGCGGAGGTATGCAAATGTTAAAATGGTTTTAAGTCTACATTATATTACAATTATAAAGTCCAAACATTTTCCAAATTACAATATTCTCTATGTGAAATTATCATATAAAATTATGGTTTATATTTTAAGTAATTTTTAATACATTACATCTTTTATTACATTTTTTTCGTCATTTAAATATTCAATAACTGTTTAATAGCACCCTCCCAAAAGAAAGTGAAATAAGTTTGTTCTAACAGACGATCTAACTAATTAGAAACAGACGCTAATGTTGCAGATCAGTAATTTATCTGCATTTTTATAAATTGTGTTTGCAGCGTGTTGACGTGCATTACAGATGTATACGGAGGTGACGGCCGCGCAACCGTGCGACCTGATCGCGCGCGAGAGCTGGCTCTCCGATGGCTCCGAGGTGGACGCTAATGAAAAGAATGACACCCTGTTAGTATACTGTACACTTTATCTAGTACCACTTCCTTCAATTTTATTTTTTGAAATTAGATTTTTATTTTGCTCTATGGTTATGAGCATAATATAAAAAGGAATAATAATATAGAGCTATATTCAGACGATATGCATTAGATATGTATCCAACGCCTAACAATCTAAATAAAGTCTTAGACAAAAGATATATTACATATAATTACACATATAGAACTTTTCTGTTTTTTTTTTTTTTATGGGAGGTAATGGAATGGTAACCTTTGCGCTATCGGTATATGCTGATTGGGCACCCGTGAAGATGATAGGTGAGCTTGAAACCTCTTGAGGTTAGTTTGCCTATAGTCACGAATTCATAAAGAATAGATCAAGATGGTTTCCAGTAGGAACCGCGTGGAGGTAGCCCTGATATGGCATATTGCATGCAGTGGGGCTGTTGGATCCCCAATACTAATAATCCCTTTCCCCACCACTATCGTAATTTTTATATATATATATATATATATATATATATATATATATATATATATATAATTTAATTATAATTTAATTTAATTAAAAAAAAAACATAATATTTTTATCTTTATCCGAGCAGTAAGTGCTTTATATTATTCTTAATTTAGTGTATAATATAGTATATTACATATATGTGTAAGTATATTTGTTATTCATATATATTTATTGGTTTATATATGTAATTTTAGTATGTATGTATATCAATAATTCGTAGTACCGCATTCGAGTATTCTGACACTTCTCTATGGTTGACTGGGAGAGAATGCTTTTAGCATTAAGTCCGCCATGTACACATATTTGTACTAATGAATAAATAAATAAATATTATTTTATCGTAGATATAATTAAATAAATAATGTAATAGATAAATGCCATTTCATATTATGTTATATTTTATGTACAAATGCACCATTTATTAAAATAGAAAACACAGTAAATCATGTGAAGTGATACAAAAGGCGGCCTTATCATTAAGCGATCTCATTTTTCATTTTAATTTAATATTTAATTTAAAATTTTCATTATATATATATATATATATATATATGAATTTTCTTTTGATGGTAGAAAATGGTATGGTAACCCCGCCTGCGCTAACGGGATACGCTGGCGGAGCACCAGTGAAAGGTGATAGATGAGAATGAAAACAGGCCAGTTAGCCCATCATGATGAATTCATCAGGAATTTACCATGATAGTTTCCAGGGAGAACCGCGAGGAGGTCGACCTGGTTGGGTATATTGCTAGCAATGGGATTCTCAGTCTCCATCACTAACAATCCCTTTCCCCCCATATTTGGATATTGGAATTATTATGATCATAACATTAAGAATAAAATAGGGTTAATATCCCAGTTATGATAGACTAGCGACCGGCCCCGGCTTCGCACGGGTGCACGTTACATCGCATCACATTGGAATCCTCTAAAATTATCAGTGTTCCTTTACTATATTATGCATGTATTGTACATATAAACCTTCCTCTTGAATCACTCTATTTACTAAAAATACCGCATCAAAATCTGTCGTGTAGTTTTAAAGATCTAAACATACATAGGGACAGACAGACGGGATGCGACTTTGTTTTATACTATGTAGTGGTGATATTTCTAATAAACAAGACGATGCCCTTTCGTGTAAATATATTTTATTTGATTAATTATTACAACTTGTTTATATTATTATATTTATGTAATGATAGTGCTTTACAAACGTATTCTTAATTGACTTTTCTCACGTACTATGTGTTCCTACTGTTTACGATTGATCAGATAGGTCGTCGTTAGTACACACACACACCGTTCGGAAACTGTGCTAAATATGTCATAATAGTTAGTCATAATCTTGATAATAAATTATATAATTACATTTGTTTATGTTGATACCATAAGAGGGAGACTGTACAAAAGTCGATTGCTTGGGTACCTCTGTCCCATTCGTGTTTCATCCGTGAAGCATTTGTGTTTGCACGGCTGTGTTTCGGTTTGAAGGGTGGGATATGGCATGAATTTACTGGGTACAGAGGAATAACACCTGAGTCCTCAGGAATGGCAACGCATGGGGGGTATCATGGGCGAAACAGTATGTGTGTGTACTGTTATGTCTATGGTACTGCTCATGTCTATAGGCGACGGTTACCACTTTCCATCAGGTGGGCCGTCAGCTTGTTTGCCATTCTAAGTTGTATAAAAAAAAAGTTACATACAAGACAATGCGTCTTGATTTTCACGTAAATAGCAAATAGTATAAGCATGGCCGTAGTCGTTTTCTACTTTCGTATTTTAATTCTTTAACTACTCTGGAATTTCTGCACATGTTGCAAATGTAAAAAACAAACAGCCGTCCCTTCTATCACATTATTTCGTAAAAAAAAGTAATATTTTTACATACATACATACATATCTGTCACGCCTGTCTCCCATTAGGGTAGGCAGAAACAATGGAACGCCAAATGCTTCGATTCAAACAAACCTCTTTCGCTTCTTCCACATTCATCAATCTTTTCATACACTCTCGCCGGTTACGGGTACTTTTAATTTGGCCCTTCTTCAGCACGTCGCCTATTTGGTCGACATACGTCCGTCTAGGGCAGCCCCTACCGACATCTCCATTCATTCTTGCTCGATAAATCTCTTTCGTAATTCTTCTTTCATCCATCCTCTCCAAATGACCAAACCAACGCAACATTCCTTATAATAGTAATATTTTTAATTAGTTCTATTTACAGAATTATAGTTCAACGTAGAAATGTTTTTAAATTTATATTATATTAATTTACAAACGAGGTGAGGTTTCACATCTCGACCACTAAGTATGGCAAGGGTCGATATGTAAGATTGAGGGAGGCTAGTGATAAGTGAAAAACAAGAATTTGTGTTCTAATACTTTCTGCTTTATTAAAAATATCCATATTCTTTGGGTCGCATGTGACTAAACACACACTACACCTGACTTCGTCCGCGTGATTAGGTATAAGTAGATTGTTTGGCGTAAAAGGTAGTCTATGTTCTTCTCTATCTCATATATATTATTTACACCAAATCTCAAAATGATTGAGCCATTAAAGCGTCTAAAGCAGGAATGTAGCAAGATCTACTGTTTACTGACGAAACCCTGTGCGAACTACCAATTACATACTTCTTGAAATTTCAAATGAAACCACATAGTTCAGTACACAATTATGTATAGTATTGTAATATTTTTTTATTTAAATTAAAGGGAAAACATAAAATTGAAAATTAATCTTAATAACTACTTATTTATATTAGTGTGAGCATTACGTCTGAGCATCTTCCGCTGGATTAGCAAAATATTAAATCGTCACCTCTTTGGCAAATTTACGAATCTGCAGTTTTTTCAAATTTGACATTTCTTTAGAAATCTACATTTTGCGCCATACTACTTATTGTGGTTTATTTTCAAATTTCTATCTCTAACGGTTGAAGAAATCGAGCAGCTCGAATCTTCATATTTTTGTGATATACCCAAAGTAAACTTACATAGCATATTTTTATGGTATTTTCTATAATAAACAGTTTAATTTGAAAATTTCAATAATTATTTTATCAATTTTTCAATCATAATTTAGTTATTTTACATGAATGACTGCTATAACGTTGTTATTTATATTGCAGTTTTCTCCAAAGCACGCGATTTATACCTTGGTATATATTTACGGAAGTGGCACTTTCGTTAGTTTGCCAGATATTAAAATAAATGATTTTCATTGGCAACTTACGAAGCTGCCACTTTCGTAGATTTGTTCTTGTAATACTTAATACCTAGGAACTCTCATGTATGAAGGTGCAAAGTAACGAATATGCATTTATTTCCGATACTTGTAATATAATAATAATTAATTAAGCGCATTCGATAAAAAGTAGGATTTTAAAACTAAAATGTTAGCATGATCTTTTACAGTAGTCTTCTGTCACAAGTTATTTGCATTCCAATGTTTCAAAACGTTCCCCTGTAAAATGTATCATTTTCAGTTTCGTAAGTTTACCGTAAAGGTGACGATATTATTTGGCAAGCCTCGATCGACTAGGCGTAATAGTCGTGATCGACCGGTTGGCCAACTCTGGTCTAGAGGTAGCAAATTAACTCAGTAACATTATAGGAGTCATAATTAATGCATTGTCTGTTATTATTATATATATATTTTTTTAATTTTACAACTTGAAAATTAACTGTAAGAAACCTATAAAGTTTTGAAAATATATATCAGAAATGTTTAATTGGATCGTCGATTGAACGTTACAGCGAGGACGATATGCAGTACGCGAAGAAGATGTACTCGTGCAGCAATTGCATTGCAAAGTTCTCGTCGCCGAAGGAGCTGCGCTCGCACAAGGCGCTGGCGCACGCGCCGGCCGCCTGCTCCGCGCCCAGGACCAGCTACAGCCGCCTGCTCTCCGCCAGGACTATCAAGAAGGAGGAGAAAACCGATGACAACATTGCTGACTGTGAGTTTTTATTTCCTAAACTCATCTCTGTATCTTCCATATTTCACTAGGTACCATATACTTATATACTTATATTTATATATACTTATTTCAATTTCAATTTATTTTATTCATTACAATATTGCATTGTGTTGAATATTTTTACAAGTGACAAGAAGATATCATAAAATATAACAAACCAAAAAAAAAAAAAAATATGAAGCAACAAAATAACCAATAATAATTGTCAAAAATAACATTACAATCAATTTACAAATGTCATCAGTAAGGCATAATATATTAAAAGAGTATTTTAAAATTCATCAATTGAGTAGATGCACCTCTCCAACAAAAGAGTATAAAGTTTTATTTTCAAAATTCTCCAATCTTTAATAGTTTTTAATGCAGTGGATAATTTATTATACAATTTAACCTTAAATTTATTTATAGGATCAACAACATAAGATACCGCGAAACATTTCAATACAATACAAAGGTAGATAAGTTGTAATTGTTCTTACATTTATAGGTCAACCACAGCGTGCCTTGTGTTTGATAAACATTAAAATGGAATTAAAATACGAAATGCCATTAAATGAATAATTATTAAATAATCAATGAATATTATTAATACATTATTTTAAATTATAAATAATTATAATGTAATGGCGAGGCACATCAACTTTCAATTTAGCCATGAGTACAGAGTGACTATCGTTGTGAATGTCAAGTTCAGGCTTGGCTTTTACAATATCGTTATACAGACGTGTCATGCGGACGATAGGTGATTCGCGGCCCAAGTTTGTTCCGTAAGATACATTTTTAAATAGATTGTAAAGTATATATATATATATATATATATATATATATATATATATATATATATATATATATATATATATATATATATATATATATATATATATATATATATATATATATATATATATATATATATATATATAAGAAAGTTTCAAAACGTACAACCAAAATCTAGAATTCTATGAATCACTAAGTAATCGACGTCGGGCTCTTCAAATATTTGAAACAAATTATCGAAACGAGGTTAAATTGATTAACTGAAACATTGTTATGTCAAAAGACGTAATTCATTCATTAAATCACATGTAATTATGTAGGTTGTGCAATCGAATTGTAGTAATACACTCCTCGCAAAAATTAAGGGAACATAAACATTTTTGAAATTTTTGTGTGATTTTCAACAGGCTGTATTTCAGTGAAAAATAATCGTACAGGAAATTTAAAAAAAGGGTTTTGAAGCTTGAACTCTTCAGAAAATGAGTTTGGAGTCACGAAATACTGCGGAGCTGACGAACCACAGGGTCTCATTTTTTCTGAAGAATCCCATATCATAAACACGTGCGTAAGCACAAAAGAACGTAAATCCGACCGTGCAACCTCCACGTGGTATGCTTTGGGTAACGCTAATGCCGGCGGTAAATCGATCATCAATCAAAGTTTTTGTCAAAAACTTTGATTTCCTTAAAAACGAAAAAAAAAATTTTTGTAAACTTTTTTCGACTTTTCAAAAAAAATTTTTTCTTAAAAATTTTCTTGATTTTTTTCGATTTTTTTTTGATAATGAATTTTTAAAAAACAAAAAATTGAGTAAAAAGTGAAAAACAAATGAAATTATTGATTTTTGAATGGATTAGGGTGAGTTTAAGGGACAAAAACCTTGTTCCCTTATTTTTTCCAAAATTTCAATCAATTGGTCCGGGAAAAACCGTTGAACCGATCGCTCCAGGGATTTAGGGGTTCTTTAAGGAACAATAGACTGTAAAATTTTCCTCAAACCTTAGCTTTAATATTAGCGAAGATACAGCCAAGTAACCAAAAAAGGAGAAAAAGTCACTTTTTTCCACTTTTTTCAATTCAATGTTAGAGGTGGAAAAAAATTTTTTTCTTCACTAACTCTTGACTGTGCTTAATTGGAAATTTTATGCAGATAAAGAAACGCTTGCTGTGCGACCAGTAGTTCCAGAGATATTAGCAGTTTGGAAAAATGCTTTTGCATTCAAAGTTCGATATCTCGGAGACAAATGGTCGTAATTGAGCCATCCAAAGCGATTTTTGAAGCTGAATAAACACGCTAAAAGACCTATACAATGGAGTAGCTCGAAAAAATTTTTCCATGCCCATAGAGTGAAAAACGAAACCTAGAAAATTTAGAAAAAATTTATTTTCAGCTTTGTTTAAGAATTGCATGGAAACCGGAGCTCAAAAAATTTTTTTACCAAAAAATCTGAAAACTAGAGTTTTCAAGCTTCAAAACCCTTTTTTTAAATTTCCTGTACGATTATTTTTCACTGAAATACAGCCTGTTGAAAATCACCCAAAAATTTCAAAAATTTTTATGTTCCCTTAATTTTTGCGAGGAGTGTATGTATATTTTGATACAACTGGTTGAAAATGGTTACTATATATGCATTATAGTTGCTATTAGTATTAATAAAATTCGAGACTGTGTGAGAGAAAGGGAGTAATGTAACACCTTAAAGTAGTTTGGTCAGAATTAGTTAAAGAACCAATACTTTTGAGATCGCTCTTAGCGATAAGGTCGCCCATTGTTTTCTCATTGTGATTATTTCTTGTAATTATTTATATTTATAATAAGTTTACTATTGTAATCTTTTGGAGGAAACAATAAAGAGTATCTATTTATCTATCTATCTACTTTTGGTATATTATATAAGCCCTTTTTACTCCGAATTCTTTATAACCTTAGTAAGACATATTTTCCCTTTCTATTTATTATAATATATCTCTCAATTCGGTGTGCCTCCTTGCATAGGCCTCCTCCAGCTCTCTCCACTGAACTCTATCCTCTGCCACTCTACTCCAGTAAGGCCCTAAGGTTTGACGGATGTCGTCTATCCATCTTGTTTTCAGGCGCCCCTTTCTTCTAGTGTCTTCTCTTGGATATCATAAAGTTACTTGTTTACTCCATTTGTCAATTTTGCAACGTAGCATATGTCCTGTCCAACCCCATTTTAAATGCTCTTTCTTTTTCGTCTTATTTCAGAATTTCTGATTTTATCACTAATCACGGTGCCCAACATGCTCCTTTCCATTGCTCTTTGTGTACTAGCTAATCTTTCTCTTTGCTGGTGTGTTAGAGCCCATGATTCAGGATACAAGTGTTGAAAGTCTTTCGCTTGATGTGCATGCTTAGATTTTTGTTCTTCATTATTTCTCTTAAGGACCAGTATTTTTTCCATCCGCAAGCTATTCTTTTATTTACTTTTGGTATAGTTTAGTTTAAAAAACAAGTAAAAGTCTAAAATCATAAGAAAACAAGTCTTATTATAATATTATTGTAGCAATTTTATTATTTAGCAATAGTTATTACAACTAATTCAAAATAGTTTTTATTATTCAAAAATATATAAAGGGCGAGAGATGGGCAGCAGCGTTCCTCTTTAAACATCTCTAAAACCCTAACTGTGCTTGCTAACCTGCCTGCTAAAAGTGGCAACTATTGGCAAAACTCTTATGGGGAAGGCTTATGTTCACCGGTGGACAGTTAACGGCTGAAATAATAATAATAATATCAAATTATATTTGTGTAATAAGCATACAATAGAATTTTTCAAGTTGTGTTTGTAAAAAAATACATTAATTCATTAACACTTTATATAATTGTGATATATACAATCTTTCAGCTAATCTCCTAACGCTGAACACAAAAGAGCCAATAACATCCTCGATACTGCAAGTGTACGATGTGATGAACGAAGCCAAGCCCAAGATAGAGGGTCTGATCAAACAGGAGACGAAGCGCAGGCGGAGAGATTACGTTTGCCCAACGTGCAAGGTGGACCAGCTCAGTGATGCGGCGTTCCACGCTCACCTCAAGATACATCCGCTGGAGTGCCTCACATGCGGCAAGTGCTTCTTTAGAAGAGCGAACCTGGCGCTACATATCAAGATGCATTTAGGAATTAAAAATTACAAGTGAGTTTATGATTTGTAACGTTATCACTGAAACTGAGAAAGGGAGTCGAAAAGTCACACATACATTTTACCAGAGGGAGACTTTGTACAAAAGTCGATTGCTTGGGTACCTCTGTCCCATTCGTGTTTCAACCATGAAGCAGTTGTGTTTGCATGGCTGTGTTTCGGGTTGAAGGGTGGGATATGGTGTGAATTTACAGGGTACAGAGGAATAACACCTGAGTCCTCAGGAATGGCAATGCACGGGGGGTATCATGGGCGAAACAGTATACTCTGTTATGTCCATGGTACTGCTCATGTCTATAGGCGACGGTTACCACTTTCCATCAGGTGGGCCATCAGCTTGTTTGCCATTTTAAGTTGTATAAAAAAAATCTTATTGGGACAATATTTTTATGTGTAATACCATATATTCTTTTTGCTAACAATTAATTTTATTCTTCCACACTTATCAAGCGAAACAAGACTTTATATGTATAGTGTTAAATTAGGCTTTTTTAATTTTACTATTGTCAGTGATGACTTATGAAACCGAAACATGGTCCTACACGATTGCCTGTATGCAAAAGCTTCAAGTTACTCGGTGGGCTATGGAGATCGGCTGTGTTCGGAGTCTCTTAGCATGATAAAATCCGAAACGAGGATATCCGCAAAAGAACCAAAATAACCGACATAGCCCGATGGATAAGCAAGCTGAAGTGGCAATGAGCTGGTCACATAGCTTGAAGAACCGACAAGCGATGGGGAATGAAGTTCTTGGCGACCGTGTATGGAAAAACTCAGTGTAGGACGACCCCTTACCAGATGGAGTGACGACCTGGAATGCATTGCAGGCAGTCAGTGGATGCATGTGGCTCAGGACCGTTCTTTATGGCAGTCTATGGTGGATGCTTACGTCCAGCAGTGGACGGATAATGGCTGAGATGATAATGATGAATTTTACTATTAAGTACTCTGTGATAAGGAAACAAAACATGCGTGTGCTCTAACTGTGATGGTGTGCGGTGTCGGCAGGTGCGAGGTGTGCGAGAAGCGTTTCCTGACGCGGCAGAAGCTGTCCGAGCACCACAACACGCACACGGGCCGCTCGCCCGTCAAGTGCACCGTCTGCGACGACACCTTCCGCCGCTATTCCAACATGGTGCAGCACCGGTAAGTGTTCTTCGTGTGCTTCCGTTCATACGAGGGGCAAACGAGCATGCGGCTCACTTGATGGTAAATGAATACCGCCGCCCATGATCACCCACAACACCAACAGCATTGCAGGTGTGCTGCCGGTTTGGTGTCGTGGCGTCATGAACATTCTTTATACCGATGGTCGATGCTTCAAATCTGACTCAAATCATAAGTTTAAAAAAAAACCCGTGGAGCAGGGGAAAAAGGATTGTTAGTAATTCCATTAGCAACCCTATTAAAAAAATATACCCTCACGAGGTTGACCTCCTAACGCGGTTTTCTCAAACATAAATTTGATTGATTTATTAGTTCACGATGGGCTAACTGGCCTGCTTCATCTTCAACTATCATCCTTCACTGGTGACCCGCCAGTGTATACCAATGGCGTAATGATCATTCCATTATCAATCATTAAAAAAAACTCGTGGAGCGATCGGCTCTAGACTAGCTCGATACACGCACTGCGTCACCGATATTTGAAATTACCGAATTTCGATTAGAGGTTATGGATAAATGGATTTATTGTCTACATAAATTTAACGTAACGTAAAACATAAATTTTGAAAACAACGCTGCAAATTCGAGTTATGCAACAGATGATGTTGCATTCCATGTGTTCCATTGCTAACACTCCTTAGTCTTAATTATTAACACTTCCATACCCCCTGACACTAGTTATAACGTGATCTTAAATGGCTTATAACATTCCTCAAGAAATGAATGATTAAAATAAAAAAAGATTGGAAATCAATTGGTAGTTCCGGAGATGATCAGCGCGCTGAAACAAATTCTTCTACTTTATTGTATTAACATTGATAGGGGCTGTTAACGCCTGAACAAAGAAGGAACTGGGGAAGCGGCGGGAGAGGGGGCGGTGAGACGCCTAACCGACTAAGTTGCGCATACATTCATTCACTTTAATAAACCTTCCATCTCTTCGTCCCGTCTCGTACAGGGGATCAATGACCGCGGAGTCTATAATCACTGGCAGCTATCCACAAGGCTGGCAACAATCAGCATGTTGGCCATTGTGGGTCGATCGTGTCTAGTAATGCAGGTGTTTGCGTCCCGTCCCCAGCGACCGCCACCACCTGCAGAAGAAGGCGAAGGTGCGCGACTACGTGTGCCAGTGCGGCGCGGTGTTCCACTCGCGCGCCAAGCTGCTGTGGCACAAGGAGACGCACGACGAGCGGCCCAAGGCGTGCCTCTACTGCAGCGACAAGTTCGTGCACGCCGCCTCGCTCACGCGCCACGTGCGCCGCTCGCACAACGAGTACTACCTCTCCGAGCGCCTGCGCGGCAAGGTCGACAACGTGCCCTGCCCCGTCTGCAAGCAGGTCAGCCTCTACAACTCCAATTTCAAATACAGTGACCGCTCTATATAAGCAACCTCTCTGCAAGCAACATACTTTATATTTTATTTATTCTACTCAGCTTAATTAGTAAAAGAAATAAGTAAAAATATTTTCCAGACGGTAAGTATTTTTATAATCCTTTTTTTTGCTATAAACAACTTTTTCCAATAATAAACTTTTTTTTTATTGAAAGTGGTTCAAATGAGTTGCTTATATAGAGTGTTCCCTGTATAAATCAAATTTGACCTATTAATAGCAATGGACAAACCTATCATACGTGTTTACATACTACTGCGTGTTCTATCCCGTTAGCGACACACAAACCACGGGATCGCAGCGGTTCTGAAAAAAAAAAGCCTCCACCACATCACTGACGCTCGCCCCGTGGATACGCCCTTATTTTAAAGTTGTTCGCATGGGTTCCTCAGCTTCCTACGTGTTATTGCAACTGAGTAGCTGTACTTGCATGGAAATGGTCCAAGAATGAAGAAGAAAGATGAAAAAAGAACTAACCGAAAAAATAACATTATTGGCCGTTCCAAGTTGTATAGAAATCCAATGCCTTAGTATCGAGCAGTATTCCACTAGTACCTCTTCTCTCACTAGGGTAGACAACATACCCAGTTTCATCTATAAGCAGGAGTCTATATGTTTGCAAATAATTGGGTATCGTTAATCACTTAAAATTAATTTCGTGTCGTCAGATATTCTATTATTGTACTGTATAAATTTATATAACATTGTTAATTCTCAGTAATGTACCTTATGAAAAAAAAAATTGTTGTATATATTGAAAGAATAACTAGGTGTCAACATTCACAGGTGTACCTGCGTACGAACCTGCGCGCGCACCTGCTCACGCATAGCGGCAAGCGACCGTACCTGTGCATCATATGCAACAAGGCCTTCACCACCAAGTGGAACCTGAAGCTGCACCGTTGGACGCACATGAGCCGCTCGGCCAAGCCGTACAAGTGTTCGCTGTGCAAGGGCGCGTTCATACGGCACACCGAGTACGTGTCGCACATGAACGCGCACAAGTCCGTCAAGCCGTACACGTGCAACTACTGCGGCTGCCAGTTCATCAGGAAGTACAACTGCCAGCGGCACGTCCGCGAGCACGAGATGGCCAAGAAGTACGTGTGTAAGGTGCCTGAATGTGGTAAGTCGTTCCACAGGAGCTACTACCTGTCCGAGCACATGAAGGTGCACAGCGGCGCGCGCCCGTTCTCGTGTAACATCTGCGGCAAGACGTCCAGCAACAAGTCCAACCACAACAAGCACGTGAAGATACACCACGCGCGGGAACCGGTGGCCACCGAGGCGTAGTCTGTGCGGCCGCGTGCTCTGTGCGCCGCGTACTCTGTGCGGCCGCGTGTTCTGTGCGCCGCGTACTCTGTGCGGCCGCGTGCTCTGTACGCCGCGTACTCTGTGCGCTCTGTGAGCGTTGCACGCCACTGCCCAACCGATTTAGTTGGTTCGTCCAAATAATTACTACCAAATTGTTTCTCGGTAGAGGACGACTTGTTCTCGGGTATTTAACAATGATCTACATATCGTAAACTCTACATATTTCTTACAATAAATTTGATTGTACTGAAAAGTCCGGTTACTCTGTGGTAGTAGTTAATGGAAAACCAATGGTGAGATCCACATTTTGCTGTTAAAGTTTGTAGGTTTAAAATAATTAATACTGATAATTGTGACCTGAGTAACCAATATTATGTTGGGTTTACACGCTTTCCGCCAATACGGAGTGTTTACAAGCTAACTTTTTTGTCGTGTACATAATAATTGACAGATTAGTGATATTTATCACAAGCAAAAAGGCTGTCTTGGTGTCCACCACACGATGCGGAGCTTTTCAGCTTTGCAAGACGTGACTGAAAATAAATACGAACACGCAATAGTGATAAATTCTTCAACGAATGCTTTCCTATATAAGAAATTAAGCTAGTGGATAGCCTAAAAAAATGGTGGCAGCAGCCTATTGCACCAACAATCTGGAAGTCGGTACGAAGGCAATTTGACAAGTAGGAGTATTGGTGGTTATAAATAAGAAATATATAAGATAATATTATATTTTTTTTTATTGAGGACAGAATTAAGAAAAACGAAGGTTTTATAAAAGCGTTGTATGAATGAAATCATTCCTGCTCCTTTATTATGGAGAAAAACTGCTAACAGCTTGCACGAGAGCACCCCAGCCCGTTTCAGTTTGTGGAAAATAAAATCTAGAATAATTTAGTTCCACTAAGTTACAAGAATAGCAAGTCGAACCGCATTCGCGTTAAGATAAACCTATTGTTACTATTTTTACAGTTTTGTAACATGTTCCTTGTGATTTATAAAAGTATTGGGACATCTCTAGTTATTTGTTCTAGAGTCGAGAAGATATGGTGTAATAAAGAATTAGGACAAATCAGTAATTCACTACCAAGTGAAAACTTTAAATACTTGGCTTGCAAGTCGAAAGTCTAAACCTACGGGGATTATGTCACTACCTTTAGACAGTAGCTAAGTGATACTGAGTATTGTCTATAATTATTTATGGTTTGTTCAAAATCGATTTAAGTACATAGATAGGTACATCTGCCATTTCTTTCAAGGGGTCAGCTCCCGCCCCCCTACCTACCTTTTAGAAAACAATATGCAATATGATAAAGCATGTAGACACTTATGATTTGGCAAGCGTGTATATCCAGCGTTCATGCTAAACTGTGATCCAGTTACGTATCAAGCGAGCAATAATTTTGTTACAAGTGCCATTAATGAATGCAAAATGTGGTGTGTTTTACTTAAGCTTTATTTAATTTAATAATGGACAGGGCACAACGTTTACGGATCGCCGTGTACTGTAAATAATTAGTTAAATTATTTGTGTAAATACAGGACCAAGTGTGTGTACATTAAAGAGACGTATAAAAGCATTTTACAATCGTAATGAATTGATAGGTGTCGCGCTGCGGAGTTATTTTGCAATAATCCGATATCCGTATTACTTCTTTAAGGAATTATGTAATCAGATGAGATTTTTTTTTTATTATTTGTTGTTAAATTCAAGAGGCGAAAGGGTCAGGAAGAGGACCGTTCGCTCTTGGAAATGTGTATTCATTTTTTAAATTCGAATATAATAATTTTTTTTTAATCGAATTCTTTAAAAAATAATACAAAAAACGGAACGTCAAATAATGGAAATGTGAGCCGTGTTGTTCATAATGTAAATACGATATTGAAATATAAAGTAGTTTGTACATTCATAAAACATAATAATTCAGTCATTCCAATATCACCGGTGTACACGTGAGCTCCATGGCGCGACATTTTGTTATAAGTATATTAGTCAAATTAAAGGGCATTTCGGTATAGGTACCCCGCTATACGGATCTTTGTAATATTTAAACGTTTGACGTTTCAATGAGTATATTTATTTTTATAAAGTACGCACCTCTCAACTTGTGTATACAGGGTGTAAACAATGCGACCTACAAATGGAATGGTTTTTAGAAGGTTAAAAGAATCACAGTGTTTGCGCAGACGAAAAGCCCTCATAGACACTTTTTACATTACGAGCCTTATTGGCTTTTATAAAATTGAAATTGTAAAAAATGAACTTAGATCGTCTATCCTTCTGTTTTCGTGTCACGTTTACGCTATGATGAAATTGTTTATAACGCCATCTAGTAATAGTTGTAAACATATTAAAAAAAAAAAAAATTTTTTTTTCACAAAGTTCACACTTTTGTGGATAAACTTTTTAATAGCATATCGTAGTCAACAAATTTCCGGTCGGTATGATGTTTTTGTCTTAAATTTATCTCTGCAGCCGTAGTATATAGCATAGCATGATTATACCACATCATCTATATCCAGCCATCTCTTCTTTCACACAGATCCGACGCGATATTTTTTGTCCCTCCCTGTCTAACCTCATAATTTTTCCTCGGATTGTTTCTCGTCTGCGTAGGTTTTTTTTTTTTATATTATTATTAATAACATCTTCTATATCGATGGCTTCTGGACCATGTACTGATTTTTTGAAATTGGAACAGGTACTCTTACGTATTAACATATTTTGAAATTAGAACAACTTTCAAAATATTGTATGACTAAAAATACTATTAGTATCTTCAAAAATGTTGGAGTTGTTTGTTGTAATAATTTGTTAATAAGTTTATCGTTTTTTAATTCAGACCGTCATTGTATAAGGACCTTTTCTCATCCCGTCCTGGTGATAACTAAGTATTTATCCATAGATTCATTTGCAATCTTCTCCGAAGAAAAGTGGGGACAGGACCTTGTGTTGTCTATGGGATGAGGACGCCATGTTAATATGCAAGCTTCGAATTAAAATTTTTTTTTAAAACGAAGTTTTATTGGAAGAACGCTCCATTAAAAAGTTCACTGTCATTAGTGAATTTACACATTTTAAAAAGAAGCCAGCGATTTCGATTTCACTCTAGCTTAGTTAGCAGTAATAATTAAGGGCATTTTTTATTTTAATTATCGACTTATAAATAGAAATAACAATACACAATTCTTCGATTTGTGATATCGCTTCACGAGACGGATCATGAATTAAGGTCATCTCGTATTATCTTTTTAATTAGCGAACGGGCACAGAATAGTACAACGATGTTGCATCAGGTCCACAGGTTCTATCTGTGACCCGTTCAAGTTATGTCCCGTGGGGCATATATATTATACGATTTTAAATCAAATTGGCACAAATTGTTATGAATTTTGTTGAAGTAATGATTACGAAAGTTTTATCTTTTTTTCTTTTCTTATACTAAATTACATTTCAAATTTTAATTCTAAATTACATTTGATATTTGATGGATTTTTTTTTAAGTAATTTAGGATGACAAACAAGTTGACGTCCTTCTGTGTGATCAAGTCAATCTGGTAGTATGAATCGTTACAAGAATTTAGCTGAATTTTTATAATTATTTATATGCCATCTCTGTCTCATAAATTAATTCCTTTCTTCCTTCCTTCTTTCTTCTTATTTCAGGATAGGAACTCTATTTTTGGGTATACGCTTCCTCCAGCTCTAACGAATTATCTCTATCCTTATGGTAGACGAAAGCTATAGAATTTAAACAGATTTCATCGATCTATTCCAGTGATTCTCAACCTTTTTTTTTGTTGCGGCACATATTTAACGATTTCAAAATTTGCCGGCACACAAAGGAAAAGATAAAGATTATTGACTTACTACAACACACTGCATAAATAGTTTGTGACAAAAATTTTTAAATATTTGCAAAATTTGGCGGAACATTTTTAAAATTTGGTGGCACATTAAAGTGCCGCGGCACAGTGCTTGAGAATCACTGAATCTATTCATACAAGCTCATCTTGGCTAAGTCGAGCTTGTATAGTTCTATATAATTTCTATTTTTTTTTTGTATATATATTATATAAATTTCATAGACATGTTATAATTTTGAAGATGTTTATTAATATTTTGAATTTCGTGTCGTATATTTACCAGAGGGAGACTTTGTACAAAAGTCGATTGCTTGGGTACCTCTGTCCCATTCGTGATTCAACTGTGAAGCAGTTGTGTTTGCATCGCTGTGTTTCGGTTTGAAGGGTTGGATATAACGTGAATTTACTGGGTACACAGGAATAACACCCGAGTCCTCAGGAATGGCAACGCATGGGGGGTATCGTGGGCGAAACAGTATACTCTGTTATGTCCATGGTACTGCTCACGTCTATAGGCGACGGTTACTACTTTCCATCAGGTGAGCCGTCAGCTTGTTTGCTATTCTAAGTTGTATAAAAAAAAAATACAACGAGTTGTTGGCATTCTTATACACAAATTGATAATCCACCGAGGTTTGCTTGCGAATGGCAATTGTAAAATTATTTCTGTCTCAGGTATGTACAATGTAAATACCATAATTATCTTAGTTAAGTAGTTTAATTTTTATTTATTCTTATCTTTATTTGTCACACTTAATTTCAAAATATAAGTAGTCGTAATTAATACAAATTTCCTATGCAAATGTATTGAAGTAACACTACAGTTTACTTTGTCAGATCTCAATCATAGAGATTCTCTTTATATGTTGAAAATTACAAAACATATTCTGTATTATGTATACTCCATAGACTTCTATGTATGTAAACATACATTTTCATAATAGATGACATGTAATGATAAAAAACTAAGTATGACACATGGCGGTGCATTACAAAAATTTGTGTGTACTATGCTCAGCTATGGTACATAACCAGGTTCTGCTTCTTATGATTGTATCGTATGTGAATATCACGACTAAAGTTAGAAACGTTCCAAGTACCATGAAAATGCCATGCTTACTATATACATAGCTGTCTGTATAGTATAAACTATTAAATATTATAAAATTCAAAATTAAAAATACTTTATTTGTATTTAGTATTTTAGATGTATCTATTTTGAAAAACCAATGTGTGCAATGACAGATTTTGTTATATTTATTGTTTTTCTTTTTTTTTTTTTTCTACAAGGATTTATTTTCATGATCTTTATTTGGTCAACAAATAAATTGTTACTCTATTTTATGTGACACTAGGTGTATTATTCTATGTATATATCATCTTTAATTGTTAAACACAAATATGATTTATAAAATTGAATGTGACAGGCCATTATAAATTTGTTATGAAGGGACATGGCTGAACTCACTGCCATATTTGTTATTGTTTCTAAAAAAACTCGAAATAGCAAAAGTAATTGTATATCTTATGTATGTTATTTGTATTTATGTTATTATCCTAAATAATAGAATAATGCTTAAATATTAAGTTAAAAAAATTAACTTTCCAACAATTCGATCCCACCGGATTTGAGCTAGGATCAAAGTAAAATTTTTAACTTAATAGGATTCCCAAATATGGTTAATATTTAATAGAACAAGTTAAATTGTTTGTAGTTTATTTGACGTGAGACACTCGAACCAGCCAGTCATACGTCGTTATCGAGATGTAGTATTTTGTATTATTATTATCTGTATTTTTTTTTGCGTTATATTTCTTTATCTAAGTAATTATATGTTTCCCGTAAATGATTTTATATGTCTTCCGTGTGGAACCAGTTATTTTCCGATTGCTTACTATATTTGGGAAATCCCTTAGTGTTTACTTATGTACGGTGACAGATCAGACGGTTTATTTTTTTGAATATATAGATAAGAGTTACATTATAATGAGTGACAACATTAATAAGCCATGTCCCTAAATATATACAAATATAAATATAAAAAATAATATCTTACAATAAGAAATATCGATATGTTACGACATGAATCACACCAGCTGTGTTCACTATACCATTCATTTATTTTTTTTTACACATAAAACAAATGATCTCGTATTATATAACTGAAAAAAAAAGAAACTTTATAAAGTTGTGTTTATAAAACTAGACTTAGTCCTCTCGGTTATTAGACAGATTTTGGTTATTTATTTTTTAAAATAAGTATCGCTTTAGTTCCAATGTAAATATATTTTGTAACATGTGGGAGGTACACCAAAATTCAGTTCGGCGGGGTTACTGGACTGAACAGTTTGTGTCTGCAATAAATTATAATAAGGACTTATATAGTTGTTTGTATTTACATAAACATTACATAAACCTATTTTTTGAATGGCATTAGTGTGAATTACAATGGCAGAAGAAGTTCGAATGCAGCTATTGATAGCTGGGGAAGGGACTGTTAGTACTCCACGCAGTCCTCTTGGAAACCATTATCGCTGATGCCTAGCAAAAGTAGAAAATTCCTCACTAAAGAATAGACAATGGGACGTCACAATGCAATAGAAATGGAAAATCAAAAAGTCAGAATAGCAAATAGTAATAGTGTTTACTACACAAACTTGTATTATTTTGTCATTTGTCACAAAGTGAACAAAAAAAAAAAAAAATCCTATCTATTTTTCTCTTTTCTTATTTTCTGTTTATTCATTCATTATTATATTTTACTTAATTTAATACTTCTATAAAATAAGTAATAAAACGTATAAAAACTTTCAAAAAAATAAACAAATTTCTCGAAGTCAGATTTCTTCAAAATTTCGCAATCAAAACAATTATTACCCAAAATTGCGAAAAATACCCAATCTGGCAATGCGACTACTTCTAGAAAGTGGGGCATAAATAACGTGTGGGTCGTTTGTTTTTTTCGCTAGCGATCTGTATCGACAATAATAACGTCAATACAAGCTCCAATAATAGAATAAACTCATTGATCCAGAAGTGTTTGTTATCACTCTTTTAAAAGGTCGTTGCCGATTATTATCAAATATTCTATAAACAATGCTGCATTGGTACCTATACTACATTAGTTATTTTCCATTATTATAATTAAGTATTGTATATGTATTTTATTTTTAGCCGCCCATGCAATAACAGGGTTATTTTCGTAAGCAAAATAATTAATTTTATACTTATGGGTCATCGAGTATGGAGACAGATGGTCGCTCCATCTATTTCGTGTCTACGGAAGTTGTACGTATGTATTAGATATAACGCAGTTTCAAAGGAGTTTCCAACTGCTGTTCTGCGGATTGTAATCGCTCGGATTGTGGAGTAATCACCTTGATGAGATGATGTGAGCCTCGTTTTGATGGAGCATTGACATTTGAGCATGGGTTTTCTAAAAGAATGTTTCGTTCTAGTTATAGTTATAGTTATTTCACTAGTGAAAAAAAATCTTTAGTAATGGAGATGAGCGCAATGGCGCAGGTGTTTTAGGTATGTATACATCATGTATCGCCCGATTTTTATTCTACTTCTAGATTTTTGGATGTTTGTTACTCAAACTACTGGCTATGTCATTTTAATATTTTGTAGACCGATAGAGGACATGTTCATAAATGGCGGCCACAGATAGATACATATAGGTTTTTTAATGGCATGAAAATAGAATGGTAAACCCATGGTAGCGTTACCATTCCATTTACTAGTGAGGTCCCAGTGAATGATTGTAAAATGGAGTTGGTCAGTTATCCCGTCTTTAAGAATTTAGCAGAAATTTACCACTGTGGTGTATTTAAAATTACTTTGTAGTTATCTGTGGTACCAAAAACAAAGTCAAGAGGACATAACTTTCTTTTTTATTTTAGCACCTCAAGGTAGTTTTTTTTTTGATGGGTGAAGATGATATAGTAACCCCGCCTGCGCTAACGGGATAAGCTGACGGAGCACCAGTGAAGTGTGATAGATGAGAATGAAAACAGGCCAGTTAGCCCGTCACGATGAATTCATCAGGAATTAACCATGATAGTTTCCATAGGGGGAACCGCGAGGAGGTCGACCTGGTTGGGTATATTGCTAGCAATGGGATTCTCAGTCTCCATTACTATACAATCCCTTTCGTTTATTTATAGCCCACCTCAAGGTAGTTATAAATACACCACAACCACTATGGTATCCAGGAAGAGTTCTATGCGTAGGTTGACCTAACACAGTGTATTGGGGTAAATAAATAAGAATAATATATAAGTATTATTCTTATTTATTTATACACAATATCTCGTGCACACCTGCGTCCGTGTGTCACGTATTTAGCGCCTACTGAAAATCAGCGTCGTAGCTGCAGATATGAATTTGCGACATATGCGGGGTTGACATATTGTTGGGTTTTAACAGTCCCTTTGCTAGCAATACACCATATCTGGTCGACCTCCACGCGGTTCCCCCTGGAAACTATCGTGAAGAATTTATCGTTGAAATCGTCACGATGGGCTAACTGACCTGCTTTTTCATCCTCACCTATCACCTCTCACTGGTACCCAGCCAGTGTATACCGATAGCGTAACCATGCCATTTTCACACATTTCAAAAAAAAAAAAACTACAACATATGCTGAGTTAGGTCCTTTGCACAACACTACTACTACATTCATTTTGTTTTTTTTGTCTTTTATTATAAATTACAGTAAAGTAACAATAATGTTACAATGTTGTAATAATAAAAATATCATTTGCATTTTTTATCGGCATTTCATTTATTAATACTTATATTTTGTTGCTATTTCACGATCGCTATCAAGTTTTTTTTTTGACGGGTGAAAATGGTATGGTAACCCCGCCTGCGCTAACGGGATACGCTGGCGGAGCACCGGTGAAGGGTGATAGATGAGAATGAAAACAGGCCAGTTAGCCCGTCACGATGAATTCATCAGGAATTAACCATGACAGTTTCCAGGGGGAACCGCGAGGAGGTCGACCTGGTTGGGTATATTGCTAGCAATAGGATTCTCAGTCTCCATTACTAACAATCCCTTTCCCCCATCTTTATCAAGTTGTGTTCATTACACTAGATCTTACGTTACGTTAATAGACAATTAAGTGAATCGTTAACTACAAATCACTATCATTGTTTCGGGTGATTGACCAATAAATAAGAACAAACGATTTAAGTGTACACCTATAGGTATTGTGCCTCGTGCGTTCGTTTCGTTATGTCTCATTGTTCTTAGATAACCTTTCAGTTGATACGATTTTGCGTTGTATCTCGTATCTACCGACAAAAATGTTTTTAGGGATCCGTATCGATAACTCGTTGCCGTATAACATTTGTTTGTCCGTATATCACAATAGTAACATAACTTTAGCGGATATAATCTTGTTTGTACGTTTTTTTTTATAGTGGGTGAAAATGGAATGATAACCCCGTCCGAGCTATCGGTATACACAGGCGGGGCACCAGTGAGAAATGATAAGTGAGGATGAAGTCAGGCCAATTGGCCCATTGTGACGAATTTCACAAGAATTAAACCCCAAATTTAAATGGTTTCCAGGGGAACCGCGTGGAGGTCGGCCTAATACGGTATATAACTGACTTGCTTTCATCCTCACCATTCATCCCTTACTGGTGTCCCACCAGTGTATACCGATAGCGCAGGCGGGGTTACCATACTATTATCACCAGAGGGAGACTTTCTAAAAAAGTAATTTGCTTGGGTAACTGTTTCATTCGTGTTTCTACCGTGAAGCAGTTGTGTTTGCATGGCTGTATTTTGGTTTGAAGAATGGAATATGGCAATATATTTACAGGGTACAGAGGAATAACGCCTTAGTCCTTAGGAATGGCAACGAATGGGGGGTATCATGGGCGAAACAGTATACTCTGTTATGGTACTGCTCATGTCTATAGGCGACGGTTACCACTTTCCATCAGGTGGGCCGTCAGCTTGTTTGCCATTCTAGGTTACATAAAAAAATCATCCATTAATCATTTCGGACGGACCAATCTGGATGTTTTGGACCGTGTCCCCAATGTTCGTTACTTGATTTTTCAAAACAAAGCGTACCCTAATTTCATGACCAGGTGATTGGTGTAATTGTGTGGAACTTATTTATTTTTATAATTCAACTAGCGTACTCTATTATTTAATGTCCGATACGTACTTGACCAGTTTTTTTAAACAAAGTTCTGTGGTTTAACCTTGGTGGAATTGAAACGTATTTATTATTTGTATTATATATTTGGTTATCATTAAATTTTAGATATTAATTAATTAAAAAGGAAGTAGTAATGTGGAACATGTTTGTTATTTCTCATCTGGGAATAGGCAAAAAGGCACATTACTAGCGGGGCTGTATTAGAAGCAGATTTATAATTCAGAAATTATTGAATGATCAATCTACTAAAAATAAATTCCTAATTAATTTTTTTATGCAATTTTGTTACGCGATTACGTTGATAGTTGTAATCTGAGGGCCTACCATGAAATATTTTCCGAAATTTCGGGGACGAACGAAATAGAAATTTGATGTTAAAATTACATAATGCATGCCGTTTAAAATTATTAAAAATATTAAAATATCGTTCCTCTGGAATATTAGGATGGGATTTATGATGAATGAAACGTTAAGCTCCATTTACTGGGTCGATTTAGGTACGAACAAAAAAACGAAATTGAGCCCGAAAATTCGGAATTTCATTTCATGGCAGGCGCCCTAATTTTGATATTTATTTTTTGAATCGATGCGGTTTAATGGCCGTGTTTTTTTTTTAATGGATGAAAATGAAATGGTAACCCCGCTTGCGCTATCGATATACACTAGTGGAGTACCATTGAAGGATGATAGGTGAGAATGAAGGTAGGTCAGTTGGCCCATCGGGAAGAATTCAATAGGAAATAATCACGATGGTTTCCGGGGGGAACCGCGTGGAGGTTAACCTGATATATTAACCGGGTATATTGCTAGCAATGAGGCTGTTACAACCTGTTACTAACAATCCTTTTTCCCCCTTATGCCCGTGTTAATCTTATACAAGTGTTGTAAAAATTGAAGCTGCCATTTTTTGCGCGTATTAAAAAAGCTTTTTGTCAAACAAAATGGATTTGTCTGTAAAGTAAGTATAATTTAACGATCACGATATGAAATGTTAAAATAAGAATGAAATGTAAGACGGCACTCTTGATGTGCACGGCATTCGTGTTTCTACCGTGAAGCAGTTGTGTTTGCATGGTTGTGTTTCGGTTTGAAGGGTGGGATATGGCGTGAATTTACTGGGTACAGAGGAATACCACCCGAGTCCTCAGGAACGGCAACGCATGGGGGTATCATGGGCGAAACAGTATACTCT